GTGAGTGCGACAGAAAATTTAAAAATTTGAATATTCAAATTTTCTGTCTCACTCACACTCGTGCGTTGCCATGGTAACCTGCAGGCAGGCAGGCAGCCAAAAAGGTGTGAGAGTGCCTTAATAGACATAGCCGAATTCACCGCAGGGCCCCCGATTTTCAAGGGCTCGAAACCATTGCTTGCGTAATGGTGGTTTACGCATCTATGTGATTTCACCTTTACTCACACAACACACAAGAAGTACGTTACCCACCCCTGCCTATCTACACTATTTTTTTCTTGAGTTATGACACTATATTGATGACCATAAAGTATTTAATTTAATAGTTCGTAATACTCTTGAAATAAATATATATATTTATTTATTTATTAACGTTTTGAAATGTATATTGTGTTAAATTTTATTATACCTAAATATACTTTTTTGTCCTTTTTTAACACACGTGTTGTCATGGCACCATATGCATTAGAAAAGGACATAAAACTGTAGGCATATCTGTCCACAAGTGTCCATTTGTCATAATTCTCGTCAACTACCGCACCTTGCTCTAGTAAAACTTCAGTGATTTTATTGTTAAAATTAAAAGTTACTAAATTTTAACTAGATCAGGGTACGGTAGTTGACGAGAATTATGACAAATGGCAAGTGGAAATTTTAGCGATTAGGGACAATGGAAACCAACCAAAGCTACAGTCCCATGTCGACGTAAAAGCGTCAGATGAAAGTTTAAACTATTGGGAAAAAAGAGACAAAAAGATTGTCCCCACTCACCATTTGTCATAATTTTCGTCAACTACCGCATCCTGCTCTAGTAAAATCTTAGTGACTTTCTTGTTAAAATTAAAAGTTACTATAAAGTGACTAAATTTTTACTAGAGCAGGGTGCGGTAGTTGACGAGAATTATGACAAATGGTGAGTGGGGATTTTGGCGAATGGGGACAATGAAAACCCCTCAGACGTCTTACGCCGACATGGGACGGCAGCTAATTAAAATTTATTAAGGCTGTTCTACAATATTACATCAGTAATATTTGGTAGGTTTCCATTGTCCCTACTCGCTATTTGTTATAATTCTCGTCAACTACCGTACCCTACTCTAGTAAAAATTTAGTGGCTTTATTATTAAAATTTAAAGTTACTATAAAGTTACTAAATTTATACTAGAGCAGAGTGCTGTAATTGACGAGAATTATGACAAATGGCGAGTGGGGACAATGGAAACCTACCATTTCATACTATTACGTAATTTTATTTTTTGGGAAATTTTCAAAATTACTGTTATAAAGAAAGTATTGTAGAACAACTTAGATTATTTCTATTTCTCTGCAATTTTATAGGAATAAATTTATTTCAAGTTTAGTCCTTAATTATTGTTTTTTCGTGTTGTGTAGCTTTTTTCGAAGTTGTAGGGTAACTTGTTACACGATGGCAATGAGTTATTACTAGACAAAATAGTCTAACTAACCAAGTAACCACGAGACCTCAAATAGGATAGTGAAAGGCCGACCTAGACCAAGTCTCGACCACAATCAAGACAAACTTAACTGTATATATATATATATGTTTACATATGTTGTGCTGAGATATTATTCATCTATATATATATATACATACAAATGTGTCTTTATATACAAACTTATATTGCCTATGTGTGTGGTACATCTTCTCTCCATTAGACTGTGTAAATGCTCTTGATCTCAGATGTTTACAGACATAAATAGCTCCTCATTACTGTTTAAAGTCAGATGATACATGTGTTTTCATCTCACTTTCATTGAGGCGTATTTAATCCCATTAGGGAAATCATTCTATTAATTTCATTATAGTTATTAAATAATTTTCGAAATATTAAATTTTTGTCCGTACGAAAAAAATAATACAGAATTTGATTTATTTTCTCTCTCTCTCTCAATATCACAAATAAAAATTTGTTTGACAATAATAAGAAGAGCAAAAAATAATTATTTGTAAATAATATTCATTTTGACAAAGTATGAAAATAAAATATGTTTATAGAAAATTCATATTTTCAAATAGGAAAATAATTGTTAATTTTTTTGAAGAAATCTCATTAAAAACAAAAAAAAAGTAATGATTTTTACATAAACTAAAAATTTTATCGCAAAAATTGTCATTTGTTTTCAATTTCATTTTAACGTTAATTTATTCGCTATTGCCCTCTTTAAGTTGAAGCGAAAGCTAATTCTTATTTTTATATATATATATACGAGAAGATCGTCTTCTTCGTGCATCCTACACTCTGTACCGTCATTTAATACTTGTAAGTCGTTCAACAGGTTTCTCCAGTTTCTCAAAAATAAGCATTACATCCAAGAAAGTAAAAATTTTTTTTAATAGGTCAAAAGTCTTTTATATATTTATTATTTAGAAAGAAATCTTACAAACAATAATATATTCGTTTATCATTAAAAATATGTGCAAAATTTTTATATATGCACTTACTATATCATTTTTATATTAATATATAAAATATATAAGTAAATAAAATCCCTCTTTTAAATTATTGAAGTGTAAAATTTGAGTTTTAATTTTGAAAATATAGTAACGGGTACAGTGACCAACATCCTGGGCATACTTTCAACTTTAAATGACATTTTATCGGAATTTATTAAAGATTTAGTTATAAAATAAATTTCAAATAAAAGATTTGGATTAAAATTTATAGTACATAAGTTTAAAATTTTAAAAAAACACTTTGATAAGAGTTTAGAATATTAATTTTAAAATGTATGGTATGAACACAGTGAACGACACCCTTTAAAAAAATAAAAAATATTTAAACTATCCAGTGGGCAAAAAACCACGTTCGTTCTAAAAACGTTTTTAGAACGTTTCATGTCCGCCAAATAATGTTCTGGAACATTTTAAGAACATGGATGTTGAAATAATGTTCCAGAACATTATTTGGCGGACATGAATCGTTCTAAAAACGTCCTTAAAACGTTTTTAGAACGAACATGGTTTTTTGCCCACTGTGTACTATTTAAATAACATGATATTTATTAATATTATCACAAATTTTATTATTCAGATTTAATGTACAAAAAAAGTTGCTTTTAAAATATAATTATTTAACAATTTCTTTATATTTATAAAATTTGCAATGAATAAAGCAAATTTTTTGAGGTTAGTTTTCTAGAAAGTAAAATATTGAGGAAAATATAAACATATAAAATTTTGTGTCAACTGTATCAGTTTCTAAATATCGTATATTAATTAATTTACTAGTGATATTTAATTCAATATTATTATTTTTATAGTTATTATCGTATTTAATAGCAGGTGCCGTCCACTATCAGGGTGTTGGCCACTATGTACCTTTTAGCCTACTTCTAACTGTAGTATTGGGAACGGTGGTCTAGTAACAATCTAGTAACTTTGACCCATTCTCTCCCTCCATTTTGTTTTTCTACTCTTTCTAACCTATTAATTGAAGAGAGACAAAGAAAGAAAATGGAGGGAGAGAATGGGTCCCCACCAGATGGCGTATTGCAGTTTAGCCGATCCCAATAGTCTATAATATTCGGAATTTTTTAATAATCAAAAACATTTTATTTCTATATAGTTAATAATTTATTGCGCTGAAGTATATAACTTTAAAAATAATAGAGACATAGGTATTTGTTTTATAATTATTATACATATAATAAAAGTGGAAAAAAATTTCGTTATATTTTAGCAATTTTTTAATATTTAATTTTTAGATATAATGTAATAAAATTATAAAAAATGATATTCACATTTTATAAAAAAAATATATATTCTTTTGTTTCAACTATAAAATTTCTTATTTTATACTCTATGGCAATAATCTAATTATTGTACTTTCATTTGACTCCATTAAGTTAATTTTTTTTGTACCGAGTCAGAATCACTTTCATTGTTAGTGAAAATAGTTGCAAACCTCATGCACTGCAACGTTAGTAGAACGAGGAAAGTCGGATGCCAATGAAAGTGAGAGGACCTCTTATTCTACTTCTCATTCTCTTTTATATAATAATCATAATGCTGAAAATAATAACATATTTTTATTAAGAAATTATTAATTCCTTTTTTTCTTGTTTATTTTCTATTCTAATTAGAGTCGCTCAATGCATAAAAACTTAAAAATCAAAGTCAAACTGTTTCAGTTTTTTGTCTCGCATTTGAAAAAAAACAGACTTAAAAATCATACAAAATTTTTCTCTTATTCCTTATTATGACTCCTATAACAGAAATTCACTTGAATTTTTGATTTTTGTCAATTTGGTTAATAATGGCAAGCTGTCCTCATTTACCCTGAGTTTTCAAATTTTTGGGGTAAATGAGGACAGCTTGTCATTATTAACCAAATTAACAAAAATCAAAAATTCAAGTGAATTTCTGTTATGGGAGTCATAAGGAATAAGAAAAAAATTTTGTATGATTTTTAAGTCCGTTTTTTTCAAATGCGAGACAAAATACTGAAATAAAAAAAAAATAAAAAAATTTCAATTGGTTCAACTATTATATATCTACTACAATTTTTTTTTCAAGTTTTTTCATCCCTTAATACAGTAATATACTTAAGAAAACTTTTTTCTTAAAACTTTCTTAGAAACTATGCTGTCCCCATTTACCCCAAATTTTATGTTTTCTAAATTTTGGGGTAAATGGGGACAGTCAGTTTCATGCGTTTAAAGCTTATCTAAATTTTTTTCTTCTGCATAAAATTAATCCCGGGAACGTAAATAACAACTTAAAAAAAATAAACCCGCAAATATTACCTTTTATAAAGGAAGAAACTTACGTAATTTGTGAAAAATAGCGTTTTTCTCCCCATTTACCCCAACTGACCCTATACCGGATAATAAAAATCTTTTTGTTACATAATTTCTTATAAAATTATCTTTTTTTAAAATTTATTTAATGTAATATTAATATTAATTTAATTTAAATTTTTAATAAAATAATTTATATTAATAAATTTCTATAACAATCGATTATGTTTTTGTTGTAGATTAATTGGACAAGTTTTATCAATTACACGAGAGATTAGTACAAGTTGGTGTATAAATCTGTAAGGATATATCAATAAACATGGTGATGGCTGTTGACGATTCGCAAATGTTATCAAATGGTACAACAGACGCCATGACGATCATCCCTCCCAATGGAAAGTTACCAAATGATAATGGCGTGATTTGTATTAATCACAATGGTAACAGTAAAATTTCCAATGGCAAATCACATGATCTAGGGGTTGTGGAAAATGGCAAAACAATCATTCCAATGAATGAGAAACCAGCAAGTTTTCCCGCTGATTTTATTGATGACGAAGTATCATGTGGTTGGGGTCTTTTGCGACCTCAATGGCTGCAAGCTTTTGCCACTAAACAAGCCTTTTTAGCCATTTTCTGTCTTACTTGGGTAAGTTTTTAATTGGCTAATAATTTTTTTTTTTAAAGGAGTATTTTAATGTGGCGTGTACAGCCACAGCTCAGCTATCTACGTAGGGTCGTTATGGTAACGTATAAGAGTGAGAGAGATAAGAACATTCTTTATTTCTCTCACTCTTATACGTTACCATGACGACCCTACTTAGATAGCTGAGTCGGTAAAATAAATATCTGCGCAAAATTATCATCTTAGAGAAGATGACGTCAAATTAAAATACTATAATTTCCTTATTTATTTTCTTGATGTAATTTTTTCTAATTCTTATAATTATTTATTTACGAGATAATTATTTACAACACAATTAACACGTAATATTACGGATTTTCCATGTAATATTACTATTTGCTTTTCTATATTAAAAAGCTCATTTACAATGTTAAATAAATAATTTAAACAATTAAATTTTACATTAATTGAAATAACGGAACTTTTTAACAGGTGTTACAAGGAATGTTCTATACGTACTTTGTTTCTGTGATTACAACAATTGAAAAACTCTTTCAAATTCAATCGAAAACAACGGGAATAATAATGTCGGCTACGGAAATTGGACAAATCGGATCGTCCTTGCTTTTGACGTATTACGGAGGTCAGGGTCATCGACCGAAATGGATAGCTTGGGGTATGACCCTCATTGCTGCGAGTGCTTTAACCTGTTCGATGCCACACTTTATTTTTGGCGAACAAATTTTGCACGTTCACCTTTCGACTGATTCTGATACGTCTCTTAATCTCTGCAAATTTAACGAGAATTTCGACAACAAAACAGTGTCGTGAGTCATTTTTTAAATTATAATTATTTTTTCTTTGGTTTCCTTTTCGACGACAAACAAAAAGGCTTACAATGAATAATAACGATTGTATATGGACGATTCTCCAAAAAGAGTGAAGGGAATTATGTTCTAAAAATTATTAGTTAGAATTGCCATTTTATGGAATTTCATTTGTCATAATTATTTTTGAGCCGAAATTTTATTTGTTCGAATTAGTATTTTGCAAGAATTTTCATCAAAACGATTTTCTATATTACAGAATTTTTATATAACCGAAAATTCACATCACAGAATTTATATTTGCTCAAATTTTCATTTAACATAATAGGCATTTTAAATAATTTTTATTGGGTGAAATTTCATTGCATAGAATTTTCTTTGAATTTTCATTTGTTCGAATTATTATTTGTTATAATTACCATGTAACCGATTTTTCATACTACAGAATTTTTAATTAACCGAAAAATTATTTAACAGAATTTCTAATTGGGTTCTAGTCTTCTTGGATAGAATTTTCATTTGTCCGAAATTGCAAATAGCCGAACGAACAATCGATAGAAAGATTTCGGCGGGATTTTTAAAATCAACAAATCACAATTTTATGGATAATTTTTGATTGGTTGATTTTAAAAATCCCGCCGAAATCTATCTGTCGATTGTTTGTTCGGTCATTTGCAATTTCGGACAAAAGAAAATTCTGTTAATTAGAAATTCTGTTGAATAATTTTTCGGTTAAGTAAAAATTCTCTAGTATGAAAAATCGGTTATATGGAAATTATAACAAAATTAATAATTTGAACAAATGAAAATTCATTTGAAGGAAAATTCTATGCAATGAAATTCTACCCAATAAAAATTCTTTAAAATGCCTATTATGTTAAATGAAAATTCAAGCAAATAAAAATTCGAACAAATAAAAATTCTGTAAAGTGAATTTTCGGTTATATAAAAATTCTTTAATATAGAAAATCGATTTGATGAAAATTTTTGCAAAATACTAATTCTAACAAATAAAAATTCGGTACAAAAATAATTATGACAAATGAAATTTAATAAAATAACAAAGAGAATGCTGTTTGAATCGTTAAAATCTGTTAAATAATTTTTCTGAAATTAATTTTTTTAAAAAAAGTGTAAAAAAATTTTTTGATTGTTAATAGCAATAACAAAAAAATTTTTTCTGAAAGAAAGTTGACCACAATGAACTTGCAATTTTTTGGTAGTCTGAATTACAATTTTCATGCATAAATTAATTATACTGGTATATTATCATTTGAAACAATGAAAAAATATTTCACTCACATATTGAATTGGAGTCTGAAAATCAACTAAAAAAAAAAAAAATAATTTAAAAACCAGTATTAGATATAATTATTGTGTAAAAAAATATATTTCAGTTTTTTAAAAACTATTGGAAATAGCAATTTTTTTAAAACAAAATTAATTTTTAAATACCACATTCCGAAACAAAAAAAAACTGTTTTTTGTTTCTAAATTTGTCAACTGGATGACGAGAAATTTTTTTTCTATTTAAGACACAGCTATAACTTTCAATTATTTATTACTTTAACAAAAAATTACTTTTTCGTCTAATATTTTAAGAAACTTATTTTGATTACAGTAAAAGTAAAATATTACCATTTTTCTTTTTACATCGAACAGCATTTAAATAAAAAAACACATGAATTACTTTAACGCAAATAATTAAGGTCAAGATCGAAATAATTCCCGTATTTATTTATTTAATACTTTATCCTCGTCCTTGGATTGCTATTGTCATTATTATTATTATTATTATTATTATATTTCGCAGCCTTTTATTTAGAAACAAAATATTAAGTTTTCAATAAGTAAATTTGCAAAAATTATTTATTTTTTTTTAGATATACAGATACCGACGAGTATTGCGAGGGTGAATTTCTCACTGAAAAACGAATCCAGAATAAAATTACAACTGTGGTTTTGGCAATATTTTTTGTATCCTTGTTAGGTGTTGGAATGGGCCAAACTGCTGTTAATACTCTGGGTATACCTTACATTGATGACAACGTTGCCAGTCGAGAAAGTCCTCTTTATTTTGGTAATAAACGTATTATTATTACAGTCTTTAAAAAAAAAATAATTATAACTACCATCAACAGGGGCTATTATACTCAAAAAAAATAACGCTACTTTTTGAATCAGTGCTTCATAAAAATTTAGAATTTAAATTTAAAAAAATTTCAACTCTTGTGTTGTTGTGGACATACGTTTGAAAAATTTTTTTTTATCAGAATTATAGAAATTTAAAGTGGTGAGATTATAATAGTCCCGCGGTTGAGGCTGTTATACTCATCAAAGTTTGTTTATTTCTACAATATTCTTAACATTTTTTTATACACCTTTAGCTATATGAAATTTTTCTGCAGATAGTCGCTAGATGACGATAAAAAAAATTTTAATAACAATTGTTTAATTTTGAAAGTTAAACATTGAAATTTTACTAAAATCAAAACAATTTTAATATTTTATTGATTAAAAACTAGCGATGAGTATAATAGCCCCTGGTTGAGTAGAATAGCCCCGATTGACGATATAAGTAAATACAACTTTCAAAAGGATTATTTTATTTAAAGTTTTATTTATTATTAGCGATTACAATTGGTGTAAGGATTCTGGGGCCCACATTTGGTTTCATTTTGGGTTCAATGTGTACCAGAATTTACACGGATTTGTCCGTTGATCCTCCAATGACTCCCACTGATCCGAGATGGGTGGGTGCATGGTGGCTCGGTAAGTTTCATTGTTATTAATATATATATTATTGTTATTGTTATGTAGAGTCAAAGAAACATTTATTTGAATTAAATAACAAATTTCTTTAAAATGAAGATAATTTTTTTTTGAATCAAAGATAATTTGTTTGAAACAAATAAATTTTCTTTGAATCAAAGAAAAATTTGTCAAAGAAATTGATTTCTTTGAATCAAAAAAAATGTTTTTTCTCGGTGTGATTCAAAATACTTCAAAATTTCTTTTCTTTTAAAGGCGATGAAAAATTTTTTTAATTTAAAAATTTTTATCTTTTAATCAAAAAGTGAGTTTAAAGAAACGATTTCTTTGTTTTAAAGAAATTTTTTTTCTATAGGGTGTATTAATTTTGAAGATTAGATTAATTTTAACTTCAAAAATTGATAAATCTATTTTCCTTCATTTAATGAATTTTTAATAAAATTATAATATTAAAAGTAATATAGAAAAACAAACAAACATCGGGGTTTTCCGCTTTACGTATAGAATGCCCCTATTAGATTAATAACATTCCTTTTGAAAGAAAAAAGATATATGAAAACTTTACTCTTTAAATTTTATACAATGCAAATAAAATATTTGTTACTTAAAAATTTGGTGTTAATTGCATTTTCATTAAAACATTTACAGGTTCGTTACTTATAGCTGGTATGATGATACTTGCCAGTATTATAATGTTTGCCTTTCCCACAAGATTACCCTCGAGCAAACCACAACCGAAAAAAACGGACACTACAAAACCAAGTCTTAAAGGTAAAGAAAAAAAATTAGGAAATATTTATAATATAAATATGACATATTTTATCAAACGCCTTTTTATTCGAATTTCTATATTAAATACACAAAATAATCATACTTTTATAATTTCATTTTTATTAACATCAATATTATAAAATATTATTGGTATTATTAAATTTTTTTTACGCAATATGTATTAATTAGCCCGTTGAATAATAAAGATAGTCAATTTTTTTTAATACATAATAATTCTTATAAAATATTTTTCTAAACACAATTATCGTAATTGTGACATATATATTTAATAAGCTATAAAGCTTTATTACAATTTTGAAATTATAATATAATATATATACATGTGAGAAAAAAACTTTATTTGTTTTATAAAACTATATTTAATTTCATAATTTTGTCAATATACTTTTTTATAATTTATTTGTTCTGCTCGTAAATAAAACGAGAAACAATTGAAAAGTAAATTATTACTCAGTTATATAGTAAATATGAATAATAAAAGTTTTATCGTTTAATTACAAGTTAAATAACTTCAGTTAAATTATTTACTATACATTCTAAAGAACACGTGCTATCATAAATATTAGACAAATATATGTTTTAACTTAATACATTTTTTTACAGTGAAAAAAAAATTTGACTCAAAATATCGGTTACTTGGATATATTACTAAATAAATATTTATTTAAACTAAATAATTTTTATTTGAATCAAATAAATTGTGTTTAAATCAATAATTTATTCTGTATTTAAAATAAATACCTTGACACAAATAATAATTATTTGATACAAATAAATTTTTATTTAATAATAAAGTAACTGATTATTTAAATTAAATAATTTTTTTTTCAATGTAGACACCGATAATGTTTTGAATTAAAAATATTTTTACTTTAATTTTTTCAAATATTTACACAGTTTTCTTGTGTGTATCAAATTGATACAAGAATTAAGATCAACTCATGCAACGTTTTGATTCGATATAAGGTATCAAAATTGATCCAAATATTTGGATCATTTTCAAGAAATGATCCAGAGTATGGGATCATTTTTTGATACCTGAATTGGTATCAAAGTATAACTGTCATGGCTGGCATGCTCTTATTGACAAGTTTATTAATTAATTTATTCACTGCACTGAACATTCAGATATTAAAAATACTTTTATTATATGAATTTTAAGAAAGAGAGAAGCGAAAAATTATAAATTGCGAGCAATTAAATAAGAAAAAATTTATTTCGAAATAAAATTAAATACACTAACTTTTATTTATGTTTATCACATAAGGTTTAAGTTAAGTTCACAATCACAATACTTGAAAATTTTTAATTATTTTTATGGTTCGAATAATTGAAGAGCTCCACGGAATAACGATCCATGGCACAATTGAAAAGTTTGGTTATGAGCTTTCAAAAAACGTAAATTTTCATAAAATTGGTAATAAGTATATGTAAACTGTTATTTATTACACGCTTAGTAACTATTACTAATTCTATTAGTAATAATAATTAGCTTACAGTTGTTATCAATTTAATGAAAATTTATGTTTTTTGAAAGCCCATAACCAAACTTTTCAATTGTGCCATATATCGTTATTCCGTGGAGCTCTTCAATTATCAATAATTTATTTATTATAAATGAACAAAATTTAAGCAATACACGCTTGATAAATATTTCTAATGCGTTGTCAATTAATGCAATTAATAATTTCCTATTACACAACATCATAATCGACATATATGACATTTGTAAACAAACAGGGTTGGAAAACAAGAGCCCAAAATATATTTGTCCAAAGCGAATTTCAATCCTACCCAACTCTGCTTTGGACGAACTTTGGTAGGATTGAAATTCGCTTTGGACAAATATATTTTGGGCTCTTGTTTTCCAACCCTGTTTGTTTACAAATGTCATATATGTCGATTATGATATTGTGTAATAGGAAATTATTAATTGTCAACGCATTAGAAATATTTATCAAGCGTGCATTGCTTAAATTTTGTTCATTTATAATAAATAAATTATTGATAATTATTTAAACCATAAAAATAATTAAAAATTTTCAAGTGTTGTGATTGTGAAATTAACTTAAATCTTATGTGATAAATATAAATAAAGGTTAGTATATTTCATTTTATTTCGAAATAAATTTTTTCTTATTTAATTGCTCGCAATTTATAAGTTTTCGCTTCTCTCTTTCTTAAAATTCATAATAAAAGTATTTTTAATATCTGAATATTCAGTGCAGTGAATAAATTAATTAATAAACTTGTCAATAAGAGCATGCCAGCCATGACAGTTATACTTTGATACCAATTCAGCTATCAAAAAATGATCCCATATTCTGGATCATTTCTTGAAAATGATTCAAATATTTGGATCAATTTGATACCTTATATCGAATCAAAACGTTGCATTCCAAAATGATACCATTACGTTTACAGTGTACTTGATCCAAATAAATTGTAGGCGTATAAATAATGAATTTTCAAATGGAAAAAAAAGAATTAAACAAACCTTTTTTTGAAAATTATTCTCTCTAAATCTGAATTAGTAGTTTTCTACTAATGAAAGAGTGCGTATTCATTTACCAATTGAATTAGTAACAGTTTTGACTAATTTTTAGTAAAAAAACTACTAATTGCTAGTAGAAAACTACTAATTTATGGAGTAAATCGTGTTTTTTACTAGTTCAAATTAGTAAGCCGATTTACTTAATGAATTAGTAGTTTTCTACTAGCAATTAGTATTTTTTTTACTAAAAATTAGTCAAAACTATTACTAATTCAATTGGTAAACAAATACGCACTCTTTCATTAGTAGAAAACTACCAATTCAGATTTAGAGAGTAGTTTAGTTGACTCAACTAATAATTATATCTAATACAAATATTATATTTAAAAAGTTTTTTCTCAGTATATTATTTATCGATAAATTATATTTAAAAAAAAGCAGTTGCCATATATGTATTTCAATGTGGATATGAGATCACAAAAAGGCAAATGATGTTAAATCATTTTGGGACTATTCTATACAGGTGTAAAAATATAACTATATAAACGAATGAGTAGGAAGAACGTCGTATATGTATATAAACGAGAGAATGTGTATATATCGATGATAATAATACTGACCGACTATGTGCGTGAGGTAGGGCAAGTTCATGGTCATATTATGTGTTGAACTGAAGTTACTCATGTGTGCGAGGGAGACCTATCTCAGCTGTTCTGTTGGAAGTCTCAACACAACATTTATACAGGGTGTATCTCTAACGGACTCAGCCGCACTCGAATGACTTTTACTACTTAACTCACTTTCGTTTATCGCGTAATCGTTTAGATAACTTCTAACAGTTGTAAATTAACTGAATTTCAAATTTAAATAAAAACAATTTTTCATCAGTGAGAAAAATTTACAATTATTCATTGTTAATTATTTATTTACTAATGCATTTTATTTTTTTTTTTTTTTTAATTATTATTATTCATTTTCGTTTACTTTTTTTACAACAAATAAGACAGTTAAGAAAATTACACGAATCTCTCTCTTTTTATCAAAATACAATTATCTAAACCATTTAAAATAGAAATTTGGTGAAGAAAATGCAAAATTAAAAAAAAATTCATAACATTTTTGTTTTGATTTCTATCGATAAATGCATGGCAAATTTTTACTGAAAATGATATTAGAAATCTTAATACAGTGGAACCTCGATTATCCGAACTAATCTAGGCAAGGCCGGGTTCGGATAATCGAAAATTCGGATAATAGAGATTTTAATTTTTTTTTATAATTAAAGTAAAAAAATGTACAGTTGAACTATTTATTTAACTTATTACATATGTTTTTAAATATACATAAGTACACGGAAAAAAAGAAAAAGTAATTTTTACTACTTTCATAGTAAAATGGGATCTGTCCGAAGTTTCTGCGCATCTATGGCAACTTTTACTCCAAAAATAGTAAAATTTGCTCCAGAAATAGTAAAATTTACTCCAGAAATAGTAAAAATTATTACAAAAATAGTAAATTTTACTATTTTTTGAGTAAAAGTTGCCAGAGATGCGCAGAAACTTCGGACAGGTCCAATTTTACTATGAAAGTAGTAAAAATTACTTTTTCTTTTTTTCCGTGTATATAAATATATGTAAATATATATTAATTAATAATATGTATATTAAAAACTCAGAAAATTCGGAAATTTTTAAGATTTTTTTGGCATAAATTTGCCAAAATGTCCCGCGAAAATATGAATGATAAAATAAATAGAGAAAATAAAATTTAAAATTCGGGAGACCAAAAAATAGTTCGGATAATAGAAGTTCGGATAAAATGTTTTTCGGTTCGGATAATAGAGGGTCCGGATAATAGATGTTCGGATAATCGAGGTTCCACTGTATAACAATATATCGATTTGAACATATCTGTAAAAAAAGATTTTAATTTGACTATTTCAATGTAAATTTGCCCTACTGTGTCATAGTTTTTTTTCCTCGCATACACTATATGTAATTTTATAGACTAGTGTAAAGTTACATTTTTTGGTATAGATGATAATTTTTTTGAATTTTTTTAATGTACATATATAGTAAAGATGTTAATTGGTTTTTGGTTAAATCCACATTTTATTTTTAAAATTCATAATTATATGAACTTTCGCCCGTCAACGTCGGGCCACATCAGATTTAAATACTGGAATTAAATTTACATTTTTAAATATTGTTATAAAAATAAAAATTAAATTAGATTGACAAACATAACCTCAAACTCAAAATAATATTTTTGATATAATTATTAATTTTGTTTATTTTAAATTATTAAATGAGGATGGAAATCCATATTGGTGAGTTTGAGATTATGTTTGTCAATGTAATTTAATTTTTATTTTTATAACAATATTTAAAAATGTAAATTTAATTCCAGTATTTAAATCTGATGAGGCCCGACGTTGACGTGCAAAAGTGCGCTAAAAATCCCAATTCGGAAACGGCCTTAGCCATTTGTCGTAATTCTGAGTCAACTACCGCACCCTGCTCATGTTTTAGTAAAAATTTAGTGACTTTAGAGCAGAGATGGGTAAAAATGCTTTTCTGGAGGTTTTCTACGTATAATACATAAATGACGTATTATACGTATACTGTAGAAAACCAGGTTTTAGACATTGTAGCTGCATCAATGGCAACATAACCTCTTTTTGTTATTTACTTTCTGGTTTATTGTTGGTAAATAAGTATTAATTAATAAATAAACTATTTAAATATTGGTCAATTGAGAACTTTCAGTTGAGTCAAATAATATTATCTTATTTGCAATAATTTTGTAAAAAATTTTAACATTTTAAATGTGCTTTCGTTCCTAATTTAGAAGAGAAATACTAATATAATTTAAATTTTATCATAGCATCGATAATTAATGTTTGCCAATGTCAGAACTTTTGAAAATTGGAAATTCGAAAGAAGCAGATTTAAGGCGCTTGTATACCTCACCGATCCCGAGTATTCTATCGTCGTGCAGCATTGAAGTAAAAGAGACAAAAGACCATTGTGTCTCTTTTACTCTAAGGCTTCAGTCCCATGGCAGCGTCTTGCGTTGCGTTTTGTCACTAGACCCTGAGTGTAAACATAGCAAACATATATCTGCATCTCTTTTACACTCATGGTCTAGTGACAAAACGCAACGCAAAACGCTGCCATGGGACTGCAGCCTAATGGTACACGACGGAAGTATACTCGGGATCGATGAGGTATACAAGCGCCTTTAGGGTTATGTTTCTCAAAATTAGCCTTATGTATAATACACATGTAAAAAAACTCACGTATAATACGTGTATATTATACGTAAAATACCTTGTATTATACTCGAGGTTTTCTATATACCCATCTCTGCTTTATAGTAACTTTTAATTTTAACTAGAATGTTACTAAATTTTTACTAGAGCAGGGTGCGGTAGTTAATCCAGAATTATGACAAATGGCTAATAAGAACTTTGGCCATTGTGGACATTGTCATCTTTCCGTACATTATTGTAAGGGTTAAATCACATAGAGGCGTAAAGCGTGAAATTTTGTAACTAGATAATTTCGTTTTATGTTATTGAAAACTATTAATCAGTGAGTTATTTAACTTTCTATATGGAGGAATGTAACATAAACCTGTATATATCACTCTCATAATAATTTATATCTACAATAAATTATAGAGTATTTCGAAGCGAAATCGATGAAATTGAAAACTTGAAAGAAAAGAATATTTTTATTATTTATTAACCAAAAATATTATATGATTATATAATGTTTTTTTAATATATATACTTCGTAAAGTATAAGAAAGTTATTATTATTCTAAGAGTATGTGGGCAAAGAACGTTATTTTGTGGTTTGAAACTTTCTCTGAAATAAAAAATGATTTCGGGTTAAAATTTTGGAGAAATGATTTTGTTTGTTACAAGGAATCTCGCTGTTCTACTCATTTACCATAACTTAACGCAAAAATAATAAAAATAAAGCAATAAATAGTAAAATAATGTATTATATCATAGTTCATTCAGAGGCCGCACTTGCTCGAATTGGCGCTGTTTACTGAAGCACTGACACACTCAAGCAACGTCTGTGTATGCGCCGCCATGTTTCTTTTCATTTTCGTTTAAAAATTACACTTTTTAAACTTCATTTTTTTATAATTTAATGCAAAATTATGTATTTTTCGGAGAACAGCGAGATTCCTTGTACCCTAATCTATCATCCCTTAAAATTATAGATAAAATTTTTTTTTCATTTTAGAGTAAGATGTATACTACCAAAAAACATTTTCCCATACTTGGTCACGTGGGAGGTTCCCACATACCCTTAAACAAAATTGTGTTTTAGAAAAATATTTAATAACTTTATTATAATAAAAAAATAATTGATTTCAACGTTTGATAAAATTTAAATATCATTGTAAAAATAATAAAGTTAAGCAAATACCCCACACAGCACCCAAAATTCCCTGAAACTTGACAGAGCTTCACACGGCGAGGTGAGGAAACTTCAGTGGCAAGGTTAATACAAGTTTGTGTCGATGTTTAAGTTTCAAGTTTCAGGGAATTTTAGGTGCTGTGTGGGACAGTTTATAGGGGGAAATACTAAAAGTAAATGTTAATTTTTTTTTCTAGACTTCCCTAAAGCGATGAAGAGGTTGCTGGGAAATGACATCTTAATTTTTAGAACAGCTAGTAGTGTGCTTCATATTTTGCCAATTGCAGGACTTTATACTTTCCTGCCGAAATACCTTGAAAGCCAGTTTCGTTTACCAGCTTATCATGCCAATATGGTTTCCGGTAATTATGAAAAACGAAATTTTATTTCTATGAAATATTGAGAGGCATGAATAATTTCCCACATTAGACCTGTCGGAATTTTTGTGCTGCCTATAATATTAAAAATTATCGAATTTTCATTTAGCAAAATTTTACGTCGAATTTACATTTGATAAAACTTTTACATATACTTTTACATTTCAGTGGGAATTTTAAAATCCACCTCCATGAAGTTGGCGTCGACGCTCAGTGCCGAAAATTGTTTTTTACAGAATCAAAAATGTCAAATTATTTTTTTTTAAAAAGATTTTCAATCCAAATAATGCCTTGAGAAATAATTTTCAAGGTATTATGTAGACCCAAAACCGTTTTAAAAATGATTTAATATTTTTGGTCCCGTGAAAAATAAATTTCGACGCTGAGCGTCGACGCCAACTTCATGGAGGTTAAAATCCACCAATCACAAATTTCTTAATATTTTTTGATAGGTTGATTTTAAAACTCCCGCTGAAATGTTTGCCCGGGTGTATGATCTGATATGTGAAAGTTCTATCAAATGAAAATTCGAAGTTGTAACAATTCTATCATGTGACAATTTCGGACAAATGAAAGTTCGGTCAAACGGAGTTTCGGTAAAATAGAAATTCTTTTCGGTAGGAATAATCACGTTATAAAATTCTGCTAAATAGAAATTTGATAATTTTTAATTAGTTTTTATACGTAATAATTTTACAACGTTTAAAGTTTTTTTTTTTGAAACCTATTAACAGGTATTGGAGGAATTCTAGTGATGGGTTTGGGTATCACAATTAGTGGAATCTTCATTTTAAGGTTTAAGCCAAGTGCACGATTTGTTGCTGGCTGGATTGCCTTTACAGCCATTGCCTATGCAATTGGAATGGGCATTCTTATGTTTGTTGGATGTACAATGGATGATTTTGCAGGTCTTCAGAAAAATACATATGGGTAAGTGGCTCATGAAATACACGGAGAAAAATTGAAAAACGAATAAAGTAACTTTTACTACTTTAAAAGTAAAATTGGGCCTGTCCGAAGTTTCTGCGCATCTCTGGCAACTTTTACTCGAAAAATAGTAAAATTGACTATTTCTGTAGTAAATTTTACTGTTTCCGTAGTAATTTTTACTATTTCTGAAGTAAATTTTACTATTTTTGGAGTAAAAGTTGCCAGAGATGCGCAGAAACTTCGGACAGGTCCAATTTTACTTTTAAAGTAGTAAAAGTTACTTTTTCTTTTTTTCCGTGTACAATATATTAAAAAACATTTTAAAAAAATGTATTTTAATTTATTCTAATTTCTATAATGAAACAAAAATAAATCAGTTTTGAATTTTGATAACAATATATATTTACCCAGATAGCACGTAAGCTTGCAGCAAACTTGCGGCAAGCTTACTGCAAGCTTTACATGTCCCATCTGACCCAAGCATGCATGGTAAGCTTACCGAAAGATTGCAGTGTAAAGTTACTGCAAGATTGCACAATAACATTATCGCAAGATTGATCAGTAAGCTTGCACGGTAAGCTTGTAGTAAGGTTGCTAAATAACCTTGCTTTGAACCTAAAAAATTTTTTTTTTAATGTTTCGTCAAATTTATATAATTTTATAAAGGTACCCAAGAAGTACGTAATATATCCTCAATATCAAGGTAATATTACACGTGAGATTCGTAATATAACGCTGTAATATTACAGTAATCTTACAGTGATCTTAAAATGTCCGCCTCAAGGTAATATTACCGGGAATATTACTGTAATATTAACGGTAATATTACAGTAATATTACAGACTGATTTGAGTTATTCATAAAGCATAAAAAACGTAAATATATTATAAGTCAAATTGGCTTGTTGGTAAAACTCTGGACTCGTGTGCTTTGAGTTCGGGGTTCGATTCCCTGGATGGGTAGATTTTTTTCGTAAAGAAATGTTCCCATAATATTACTGTAATATTCTCTTGTAATATTACCTTAATATTACGGTATAATATTACTGCAACATTACTGTAATATTACCTTAATATTAGCGCGTAATATTACAGTAACATTACCGGTAATATTACCTTGAGGCGGACATTTTAAGATCACTGTAAGATTACTGTAATATTACAACGTTATATTACGAATCTTACATGTAATATTACCTTGATATTGAGGTTATATTACGTGCTTCTTGGGTACCTTTATAAAGTACGACAAAAGGTACTTAAGATCCAAAAAATTGTAGGTTATGTTTGTGATTTAATTTAATGGATTTAATTTTTAAAAAAAACTTTTTATTCGCATGTAAAATTATCACTAAACATAACCTAAATTTTTTGGGAGCTAAGGTACCTATTTTGTCGCGGAGAGTCACATATAAAAGCGAATTATTATTATTATATTATTTATAAATTTTTGCGTTATTTCTTCAGATTATCCAAATTTGTACCAACCTGTGAATCAACTTGTGACTGTAATCAAAATAAATTTAGCCCCCTCTGTGGGGCAGATGGACAAACCTACTTTTCTCCTTGTCATGCAGGCTGTTCAAATTATACCACATTAGATGGAAAACTGACTTCGGTAATTATCATTATGTACTTACAGAGTGATTGCAAGTTAGGGAAAAACTGCGGAAATCAGGGAATATTCTAAAAAAAATTTCAAAAGTCAAGAAATTTTTATTCAAAGAAACCGAAAATTAAATATCAAAATTTTACTTTAAATAATCGCAGGAAACTAACTAAACTTTATATTATCTATACTTAGTAAAGAATGCATTTTTCATATTTATGAAATTTTTATTTAAAAAACAATAAAAAAAAATTCAAAAATTTGTTAGTCAGAGAAAAAGAAAAATCAGTTATGGAAAAGTGAGGGAATTTTGAAAATAAAATTCTGCGGCCACTCTGACTTATTAATAATTACATAATCATTATTATAATTATTATATTAAATATATTATTTATTTTAATTTAACAGAATTCTTATTCAATCGAATTTTATGTGATTCAAATTTTGAAATGACAGAAGTTCCAATTTACCGAATTTTCATTTGTCCGAAATTGTAAATGGCTGAATAAACAATTTTAAAAATTGCGCCGAAATCTTTCTGTCATTTATTTGTTCGGACAAATGAAAATTCGTCGTCTTAACAATTCGAACAAATTAAAATTCGATGAATTGGAATTACTGTCATTTAAAAATTTGAATTACATAAAATTCGATTAAATAAGCATTCTGTTAACTTAAAATTATTTAAAATTTTAAAAAATCATGTAAAAAAAATAACTGTGCGATTCCAGGTGAGATTTTGACTTTTTCGGAGTAGGTTAACCGATTGCAATGAAACTTTGGAATTTTGTTATATATAGTAAGACTAATCTTTAACGTAAATTTCAGCTTAAAATATTTGTTAGTTTACGAGATTTGCAATAATAACAAAAAAATTTAAACTGCTATATCTTCCGTTCTAATAATCGGATTGAGGTCTACTTTTTTTTAAAATGTCAAGGAAAATGAGAGGAATAAATCTCTTTTAGAATAATTTTTTATAATTTTACAACTAAAAAAATTATTAAATAATAATTGAATAAATTTCACGCGACAATCTAAAATTCAATCACTTAAACGCTAAAATGATCTTACCTGTGTTTTCTTTAATGTTCCAAAGGAATCCAATTGTAAATGCAAGTTTAACTTATTTAATTTTAATAATTTACGAGTATAAACAATTGCGATTTCTGCTATTTGACGTGCAGACGACATTGCGCACGCAGCATTCTCACGTAGCCAATTTAGTCTACGAATCACGTCAGCTGGTTACAGGAGAATGCTGCGTGCGCAATGTCGTCTGCACGTCAACTAGCAGAAATCGCAATTGTTTATACTCGTAAATTATTAAAATTAAATAAGTTAAACTTGCATTTACAATTGGATTCCTTTGGAACATTAAAGAAAACACAGGTAAGATCATTTTAGCGTTTAAGTGATTGAATTTTAGATTGTCCCGTGAAATTTATTCAATTATTATTTAATAATCTTTTTGGTTGTAAAATTATAAAAAATTGTTCTGTAAGAGATTTATTCCTCTCATTTTTCTTGACATTTTAAAAAAAAGTAGACCTCAATCCGATTATTAGAATGGAAGATATAGCAGTTTAAAATTTTTTGTTATTATTGCAAATCTCGTAAACTGACAAATATTTTAAGCTGAAATTTACGTTAAAGATTAGTCTTACTATATAAAATAAAATTCCAAAGTTTCATTGCAATCGGTTAACCTACTCCGAAAAAGTCTAAATCTCACCTGGAATCGCACTAAAATGAAAATCTGTGAAATTTTAATTCGAAAATTGAAAATTCGTCTAAAAAATAATTATTTCTAATAAAATACTTAAAAATAAAAATTTTATTTAATGATTTTTATAGGAAATTCATGCACCTTAAATTTTAATAATTTCAAATTTTTTTAAATGAACAAAATTAAAAATTGAATTTTTCTTACATAAACGGTAATTATTTTTTTTTTACTGAGAATATTTTTTGAAAAGCAGAAAACATTGATTCGATTATTATTATTATTATTTCTGCTGTAAATAGATATTTAAAAAAAATATATATATTTGTGTTGCTTGTTTTTTTTTCTACAAAGGAAACGATTATTTCTACTTGCACCGTCATTTTCAATGGAAGTTTTTGTAGTTTACAGATTGTCAATGTATTGGTACAAATGTAACTGGATCAGAAACCTTGAATACTGCGACAAGTGGATATTGTCAACTTGAGTGCAACAATTTTTGGGTGTATATGATTTTATTTTCACTGTCGGTTTTTATTCATTCGACCAGTGAAGTTGGATCCATGATGCTCATTCTTAGATGTGTTGATCCCAAGGATAAAGCAATGGCACTTGGATTCATTCAATTTGCCATTGGCTTGTTTGGTAAGAATAATTTTTTTTTTTTAATATAATATCGATTGACTTAAAAATAAATTTTTTTTTCGCTATTTAACATTCTGAACAGTGAAAAAGTAATTTAAAAAAAAAAATTTCTTTTAAGGGGTTCATAAAATTTATAGATTAATATTTATTGGAATAGTTATAAAGTATTTTGTTTTAATAACTAAAAATGATATTTTTAATTAATTTTTTAGGTAATATTCCCTGTCCTATTGTTTACGGAGCTGTTGTCGATTCAGCCTGTCTGGTTTGGGAGTACGCTTGTGGAGAACGCGGTGCTTGTTGGCTGTATGATACAAATGACTTTAGAATGTTCTTCCATGGTACGTGACTTGATTGTAAAAATTATCAAAAATTCTTTAGGTCCTTAATATCCTTCGATTGATCATTTACCTTGCCAAATTTTTTGCCTCTGATTTACATTAATTTCATTATTCGTAGAATAACAAGTTTTATCATAAAAAATATTATCACGTTTATAATTATTAACATTTTGAATTTAATAATAATAATATTAATAATATTTATTATTATTATTATTATTACTATTATTTGTATTATTATTAAAAAAAAAATTTTTTAACTAATTTGTTTAAAACAAAAAAAAAATTGGAAAAATGTGGACAACAATTCTATGTAATTATTTTAGCATATAACTAAAAATATTGTTTTTACTTTGAAAGAATAATTTGTAAATATTGCTTATGTTTAATTTATAATTTATTTTATTAATTATTTTGGAAATAAAATTGTACTGTAATTTTTTCAAAATATAATTGAGAAAATATTTCAATTTCAATTAATTTAAATTAATTAAAAAATAATAATCTTAATTAAATTGTAGATATTCAAAATATAGAAATAAAAATTTAATGTTTATATAAATTACTTAACAATTTATATAAAATAACAATGCAATAGACTTTTCACAGTATTTTTATGAAACTAAACAAAATAATTATAAAATTATAAATATTTTATATTTGTAAATTATAAATAAATTAATTAATAAATAATAATAAAAATAATGAAAAGACTCAAAAATAACATGAATAATAAAATAATTATAAAAAATTTGAAATAGATTTGAAAACAATATTAAAAATTATTAAATGGGAATGTAAAAGTAACCACTCAAAATGCACTCGAATAATATAATTTTTTTTTTATATTTTAAATTATTTATAATATGTTAACGGGATGAACCATATTTATTTTGATCCTTTTAAATTTTAATAATCGCGCACGATGTTATATATATATTAGGGTGGTCCTAAAAAAAATTTTTTCGAATTTTTACCATTCCCGCCACACATTTTGTTATAAATGGAAAAAAAAGAGATACGTATTTTTTTGTTTCGATTTTAATAAAAATTTAATGGTGCCTCAAAGGACTTGAAGTTTTACGTGCATTTTGCATGGGGAAAAAAACACTTTTTCGTAAATTTACTGTCAAATTGTCAAAAATCAATATTTTTTCACCGGACTACTAGACTTTTCTTCAGAAATGTTCGAAGAATAACACACAACAAATGATTTAAAAAATTTGTAATGTTAACTATTTTTTAAACGACCTCAAAGTGCCCTAAAAAGGCAAAAAAAGGTAATATATTAAAAAATTGCTTATTATTTTCTATCTGTTTATATCTTTAGCAAAATTTGTTATTCTTTAAATAAAACTAGTATTTCTATTTGTATTTGCATTACATTATACTTGTTTAAATTAAATCATAATTTTTTTCTTTAACTATTCTCAAATTCAACCAGAAAAATAGTATTTTTTCCTAATTTTTTTTTAACTTTTATTTCTTTTTTTAATTAAGAAATGCAACAGTTTTTAAACAAAAAAATATTTATTTAAATAAATTAATTTTATTACTTGATTAATTAATTCTTTGTTCATAAGAAATTTAAGCAAGATTTTTTAAAAAATTTAAAAAAAAAATGTAAAAATTAATGTATATTTTAAGAAAAGTTATCAAGTAGCAAAAATAATTTATTTAAACATTTGGTAATTTTTTGTTCACTAATTGTTGTATCTTTCAATTAAAAAGCAATAAAAGTTGATAAATTAGGGGAAAAAAAGTATTTCTAGAAAATAATTTGAGAATAGTTAAATAGCAACAATTAAAAATTGTTTAAATAATTTAAAAAATTTATGCACTGACAAACAAAAATACTAGTTTTAATTAAGGAATAACTAAATCTGCTAAATAAATAAACAGGAAGAAAATAATAAGCAATTTTTAATATATTACATTGTTTCACTTTTTAGGGCACTTTGAGATCGTTTAAAAAATAGTTAACATTAAAAACTTTTTAAATCATTTGTTGTGTGTTATTCTTCGAACATTTCTGAAGAAAAGTAGAGTAGTCCGGTCAAAAAATATTGATTTTTGACAATTTGACAGTAAATTTACGAAAAAGTGTTTTTTCCCCATGCAAAATGCACGTAAAATTTCAAGTGCTCTGAGGCACCATTTAATTTTTATTAAAATTTAATCAAAAAAATACATAAATCTTTTTTTTCCATTTATAACAAAATGTGGGGCGGGAATGGTCAAAATTCGAAAAAAAAATTTTTAGGACCACCCTAATATATATATATTTTTTTTTATTACATCATTTGGGTCTTAAAAACATAAAAGGTGGTTAAAAAAGAAAATTTTAATTTTTAACCATTTTAGAAATTGTATTTAAAAAAAAAAAAATTCAAAATTCATACGAGATATTCAAAAGAATTCTTAAAAAAGCGTGTAAAAAAAATTGTCGATGAAAAATAGTGAAAATTGTAAATGTAGTAAAATATTTAAAAGGAAAGATTAATAATGAAATTTTAATTTATTTTTTCCTTTCTTTTTGTTAAAAATTAAAATTTTTAAAAATCCATGCAAGAGATTCTAAAAAATCATTAAAAAAAAAGTTTGTGAAAAAATTAACAATCAAAAATAGCGAAAATTGTGAAAGTATAGCTTAATTTGAGAAATCTTAATTTTTTCCAAATTACTATATAGGTACTCTACAATGGTCAAAAATTAAGATTTTTTTTCACCACCTTTTATGTTTTTAGAACCTAAATGATGCAATAAAAAAAAAATATCGTGCAATGATTAAAATTTAAAAGGGTCAAAATAAAGGTGGCCTCCTCTATAATTGTTGTATATTTTTTTCTATTTTCGTAAAATAATAATAATAATAATAAAAAGAAAAAAAATATTATTTTTAAATACATTTAAATTTATATACTTTTCTTTTCTTTTTTTTCTTGTAAATGGTTTATTGACAGTAAAATTCTTAAATAAATATTATAAAAAATTGCCCAATGTTTCAGGTACCACTGGTGGTTTAATGCTATTAGGCTTTTTTGTGGATTTAGTGGTTTGGTACAAAGCAAGAAAAATAAGTTTCAGTGAAGAACCAGACGTCACAGTTGCAACGACAGAAGAAATGGCAAACCTGAAGGCAAGAGATGGCGGAGAAAGTGACTATCTATAAAATCGATATTGATTTTTATTATTATTATTTTTTTTTTTGTGAAGACAAAATACTAGTCCAAAAATAGAAAGGTATCCCCCGCTTCTTTCATTATTTGTGTTGGACCATCTGTATATCTCTGAAACTATCACAAGATTAATTTGATTGTGTCATATGAACTGATTATGGCTCAATCACTTTTAATTCAATTTACCTGTCAGTCTTAAAAAAAAAAACAAAGCGTTGGGATCACATTAAAGTACTCGTTATATTTTTACTGATATACTTTTATTATAATTATGAAAATACGCTTAGAACGAAGTATAGAAACGAATGTGAAATGCCATAAGATGTAGATTAATATAGTTTATAAAAAAAAAAATTTTTTTTCAAAATTTCAATTTTAAGGGAAGTTAATTTAAATTTTCTGATTCACTAATAATACTTTTAAAAAAAAAATTAATTCCAACACAGTGGTCTTTTAGTCAAAAAACAAGAAGATTAATGCTCGTGACCATTTTTTATCTTATCTGATAAATTATATATTATTTGTATATATATTTATTCTGAAATTGCAGAATATATATATACACAATTGGGAGGAAGCAAAGACTTGATAGGAAATGTGATTGCTGTATGTATTTTTTAATTATAGAGAAAGGCAATTTGCATATGAAAATATAACTTGTCGATTTTATTGTAATATAAGAAAAAATTTTTTTGTATGTACGAAATATTGAGCGCCGTGCATTAAGATTTTAAAAACAAAGTGAATCAAACAATATTGTAAATATAATTTTTAAACAAAAAAATTGACTAAATGAACAACTTCATTCATATATTATAATAATATAAAGAATTTTCTGTTTTGACAAGAGAGAAAAAAAAACAAATCATTCCTTAATTGAAAAAGAAAAATTAAAAAAAAAAAAAAAAAAGTTGTACATAGAAAAATATCTTCAAAGGACGTAGCTCTCTTTGGGAGCGCCAGTCAAGGAATAGATTTTTATATATATTTCAGTGAAGAATATATTTAAGTCTATTCTTCAAATTTATTGTGATCGAAATAATTACTCTGTTTAGAATCTAATTTTTAATTATATTTAATGGTTATTGTTTTCTGGTCTTAGCTTGCGACATTTTTTTTTTTTTTTTCACTATAAGACTAGTTATAAAATGACTCCTTGTTTAGTAAGTTTTTAATAAGCTCGCAAGTACTTTTTAATTTTTTGTATTATGTAATTAATTATTGTAAACAAATTAGAAAGTACCGGCCGTGATTACAATTTTAATTTTAGATTACGAGCCAATGGTGGTAAATTAAGAGGACGCTTAAAAACCCATCGACAGATTTACTTTTCTTTTTTTGTATTATTTAAATTAATCTGAATTTTTAGTTGCTTTAATTTTATAATGAATTTTTTAATTGAAAGTCTGTAAATAAAAATAGTGATAACATTTAATTATGAATAATTAAAATTGAAAGATACAAGGGAAAACAAAGATTTACTTGAAACAGCGAAACGTTTGTTTTTCCTTGTTTCAGTTAATTCTTTCGCTATTCTAGTGAAAACTTTTGCTGTTTCAGGTAAATTTTTTTTTTTCCTCATATTTCAAAATTTTGAGAATTCAGTGAAATAATAAAGCGACCTCTTAATATACCAGAAATTCAATTAAATTATAATTTGCTATCGATATAGTAATAAAAAACTACCTCTTATCGTTCATCGTCAGATTAATTTGATTGAAATTTTTAAAACAATTACAAAAGTTGATCATTGTAAATTATAATAAAACTAAAATTATTTTTGTCTAAAATTATAAAATACAGAAATATATTTTAAATCATACATTATTCGACCAACAAAAAAAAAGGAATCTTTTTTTTCTTTTTAAAATATAAATTGAATATTTCTTTGATTTGAATATAGTTAAATGTATATATATTTTTTTTCTATTCTATCTCTGATTATAAAATATTTGATCTGTATAATTTTTCTTTTTTTTTTTTTTGAAAGAAAATTGGATAAAAAAATTTATGCAACATGACGATGGAGGATATTTTTAACGTTTGAACGTGTCGTAAATTAACATACTCGTTATTTTGATTCTTGAAAGCATGCGTATATATGTATATTAAAAATAGTAGTTTATTCAGTAGACAACGTCTTTGGAAAAATCGAATGTGAAATATAAGTTAATTGTGTGGAGAGAAAAAAAATTTCAATTTATTATTGTATGTTATGCTTATATAATTGTATATATATGCTTTTTATTATGAGATTATTAATAAGAAATATCGTCAAGAAGAAAGTGCTCATTCACATAATATACAAGAAAATGTCGTTAATAATTTTCTCTTAATCATAAATTATATTTTTTTATTGAAAAAAAAAACAAAGTACCTAAAAAAAAAGTATACTTGCACACTCAATAAACACAATTTGAAAAAATTTAATTGATTTTAAATTCTGTTTTTTAACAAATTTTAAAAATAATTGACTACTTTGTATACCAAGAAATATATTTTCTATTGTATTTATTTTCGTTAGCTATTTTCAAATTTCTCACTTTATAATGCGTAAATACTGTCTATTTTTGTAAATTTAGAAAAATTGACATTTTTTTAAAATTGAATAATGTGAAAAATTATATTTTATTTTTTTTTTTAATTGTAATTATTTGGATTCTAAAGAAAATTTTTTTTTCCATCTATCGGTAAAAATAAGTACATAAAAGAAGTAAAAAAAAATTAAAATTACTATTTATATTTAAATTTTGTAAACGAAGAAGTTTGTAAAAATAATTTTTATTTGCTATTCATCTTATTCAATCATAAAAAAAAAATTTACAAAAAGTGAGACAATTTTTATGAAGCGAACTTATCTCTCAAATTAAATCTCTTTATAAAAGATAAAAAATATACATATAGATTTGTATAAGTCAATATATTAAGATAAAAATTTAGACATTAATTTAACAAATAATGTCGTTAAAGAATATAATTAATAACCTATAATTTTAATATAAATCTTTGAATGTGATTTCTGGCTTTTAACTCATATAAAATTATCAAAATTTTTATTTATAAAGATCCATATAGTATATATATATATATGATGTATTCTACGCCAAAGTGTAAGTCCATCTGCAATTGCATCTCCGATTTTTTTCAGATTTTTTTTTCTTTTAGTAAATTTATGGAATTTTGAAAATTGGAGAATTTTCATGACTATTAATTTTTGAATGCTTATAACTTCCTTAAAAATGCTTCAATTTTAAAAGTCTTTTTTTCAAAATGTGTGTTTTTAAACGTACTTTTCAAAAAAAATCGAATTTTTTTTTTAAACGATATTACTATCAAATTTTTGAGTTTTAATGATGAAAAGTCGTTTTTCTCATTTGATGTACTCATCGATTTTTTCAAAATTTTTTCAAAAAAATTACTTCTTTTTACGAAACTTTTAAGCCTAGCCCGATAATGGGCAAACAATTTTTACAATAATTTGCGGAATTTTTAAAAATATTTTGTGTTTTTTTTATACTACGTACTTTTATGTATTTTGATGCCCTGATTACGAAAATCATAGTGACAATATTCAAAAATTTGATTTTTATGGTGAAAACCTTAAAAAAGTCCTAAAATTTATGATTTTTTTCGTTTATTGGGTAAAATATGCAAAATTAAAAAAAATGCATAAGATAAAAAAATTTTTTAATATTTTAATAAGAATTAAAGAGGTATTTTAATAAGATCTATAACTTTTGTTTGAAAGTTTTTTTTTTAATTTTGCATGTTTTACCCAATAAACGAAAAAAACCATAAATTTTGGGACTTTTTTATGGTTTTCACAATAAAAATCAAATTTTGATTTTTGAGTAGTATAAAAAAACCGAAAATATTTTGAAAAAATTCAAAACTTAAAAATTTTTGAAAAATTCCGAAAATATTGTAAAAATTGTTTGCCCATTATCGGGCTAGGCTTAAAAGATTCGTAAAAAAAAGTAGTTTTTTTGAAAAAATTTTGAAAAAATCGATCAGTACATCAAATGAGAAAAACGACTTTTTATCATTAAAACTCAAAAATTTGATAGTAATATAATTTAAAAGAAAATTCTGATTTTTTTTTGAAAAGTACGTTTAAAAACACATATTTTGAAAAAAAAGTCTTTTAAAATTGATGCATTTTTAAGGAAGTTATGAGCATTCAAAAATTAAAAGTCATGAAAATTCTCTAATTTTCAAAATTCTATAACTCGAAAACGGTTGCTAAAAAATTTTGAAAAAATTCATGGAAGCTAGTCTCAATTAGTACTAAAAAAATTTCAAAAAAATCGGAGATTCAATTGCAGATAGACTTACACTTTGTCGTGGAATAAATCATATATATATCTAAAATACTACATCTATATTTTTTTTATTAAACAAATTTATCATTAAGAAAAAAATTGCGAAAAAGTAATATAAATTTTTCATTAATAATTATAGATATTAAGGAAACATAAATTGCTAGTCTGTAATAAACGAAAAAATTTATTATTGTACATCTACAATATATGATTTTTAAATACACTCTAATTTTCTTTTTAATTTTTCTAACTCGATGGTACAAAATATAATTGATTTTTTTTTTATTTTCAATAATTCAATATTTTCTAAGAAATCCGATCAAAAGATAATAAAGAAAATAAATATATAAATATATCCAATAAATACTACTGACGATAGTTATAAATCATATAAATAATATAATATAAAATAAATAATTATAATTGACAAAGAATATAAGAGATAGAAAAATTATAAAAAAATCATATACATTTATCAATGTGAATAAAAATTGAGGTGCGTAACGGTGAATTATTTTTAAATATAGAGATTTAAGTTTATAATATTATATTGATATAATGTCAATACAAATTGTATAAATGTAATGTAAACGAGTGATTTAATTTTTAGTTTTCTATTATATAATAATAGTTCATAGATTGTAAATGTTAATCGACTAATTTCGTGAACTTGATTCTTGATGAAGAAAGTAAAAAAATAATTATTTTAAACAAAATTTTATTGTTTTGTAAAAGAATAATTATTTTCTGACAATATTATATTTAATTCATTTTTTCACAAAAAAAAAAATTCCAAAATGTTAATTCATATGGAAAGTTTTCTTATAGTTTACCTTGACACATATTTTATTTTTATAACAAAAAAAAAAATGTAGAGTTCACTCAGGTGAACGAAAATATGTTACAAATGGAGACAATTTCCACTCTAATGTTATATTATATAATACGTATAGAAATACTATTTATTAAATTGGATATTTTTCCTCCAATTCATTTTACATATTTACTGTTAAATATTTTTAATAAACAAAAAATAATTTCTTACAAATCAATCATATTTTTCAGTAATAAATATGCAATCGTTGATAATTCGTGCCTCATATAATACATACACAATTGACATTTACATATATATGTTTATATTTTATAAGTAAAATATAAATGTAAAATTAGTTATACACTTTAATTATTATATATATATGTATATATAATAATATCATATGTACAGTCATGGAAGAAAATATTTTTATTCAATAGTTCTCATAATAGAAAAAAAGAATTATATTTATAAAATCTATAATAGATTAAAAATAATTTAGATTATGTATTATATTTACTTGAATCAAGAATTGAGTTCACGTTGATCTATTCGTTACAGAAAGATTGACACTATACTTTATGTAAATCTTATATATCCATTAGCTCTCGGGTTATCGAAAAACGAATTCATTTCCACTTTTGCATTTTTTCACTCTATATAAATATTTATATTATACGTACATTAAGAAAAAAAAACAATTTTCAAATTGCATTTATTTTTAACTATAAAGAATAAAGACTGTATTCAATATGATACTGCCACTATTTTAACTGCCTTTTTTTTCTCTTCATTAGAATTATCGCAAAATATCAGCCATTTTATAAAGTCTTCATTATATATATATATTATAAACAAAATGTTGAAAAATGTGATTAAAGATTTTTGGATTGTATATTCGATAATCCGAGTGTTAAGACTGATTCATCTATGCAACGAGCAAAAGTTGGTTATGTCGTCATTATTGATTGTAATTATATATATGATTGATGAAGGACAGGCTTGCTTTTAATAAAAGGCATGTGCCATAATTATATGTGTTTCTGATTTAATTCCTAATAGATGTACACTGCCGCTCAATAATATTTGCCCACCTTACAGCATATCAGGGCTATACAAAAAGTTTTGTATCTTTAATTCTAATAAAGATATAATCTTCGTCCGAGGGGGGAATTTATTCTGGTAGTCAAGTGTACACTTGCCTAGTAATACTCGGTAATACCTGTAATATCTGTAATGTCTTGTAATAATATATGTGTGTCTAATTCTTTATAAAAATCACGAAGTAATATAAGGAGACCCCACTGTTCAGGAAAGCTGAAGCCGTTTTCCCCGTTTCTCTCTTACAATTAACAGAGGTGTCGAACCCTACCGGGAAAATTTGATACCTCCGAAATTTCGTCTGCTAAAAGTGACATGAGCGATGTAAACATGGAGAATCTCCATGGATATAAACATGATATAATTATTTATGTTGTGTAAAAACACAGTAACGAAGTAAAATTAGTAACTGCAAGTGAATATAAATTATTAAACTGTTTAAATTTTATTTTAATTATGGTTGTGATAAAAATATACTTTAATAAGATTTATATTTAAAATGAAACTCATTATTATTATTTGGATTTCTTTGAAAATAGTTTTGTAAATAGATTTATATTTTGTATTGCCTTTAACACAATTTGTTTTACAATCTTTAATGGAACCACTAATCATATTTCCTTACTTTTCTTTAAATTATTTACAAAAACCAGAAAAAACAAAGCGATATAAAAACAATCAGTTTATGCAGGTTATGTCACAACAGCCATTTTGCTAAAGTTCTATGTGTTAGTAACTGTATGTAAACATTTTGTGTCAGTGTGGGTAACTAGTTCCCAAATTTTCCGATAGGTTCGACACCTCCGTTAATTGTAAGAGAAACGGGGAAATCAGCTTCAATTTTTCGTGGGCTTAAGGCCAGGTCCAAGTCGTGTCAGCCTGTTCCATTGAAACTTCAAAGGAACAGCTGACTCGACTTGGACCTGGCCTTAATATAGCAGTGGGGTCTCCTTAAACTACTTCGTGATAAAAATAAATATGTGACGCGATCTGAAGAAAGGGACCTTAGAAGCAAATGAATTATTGGTTATGTTTACAATAGTTTTACTTGAACTAAAAGTTTATTTTTGTTTTTGTAAAACTGAAATCAGTTTTTATTGAATATTTTGGATGCAATGAAGACCTAAATATCATTAGTTTGCATTACGAGTTGAACGTCTTTGTGTATTTTCACTTTAAAATTTCTAAACGTAACCTATAATTTTTTGCTTCTAAGCTCCTTTTCTTCAGATCGCGTCACATATATAAAAAATATACCTACATATAATATTTTAATGAAATTAATAGCAGAAATTTAAATCATCTTTATTTTGAAGTAATCAATTATTTTTTTAATACACATATTAATTTTTCAAATATTTTCTTTGATGATATATATCTCTTTAACTTTGCGATGGAGTCATCTAATGATTAAATAGTTCATATTTCATGGCAGTTCCAAAAATTTTTTCGCTAAACTTTTCTAAAAATTGATAAAAATTTGGATAATTATTTTTCGACTGTTCTTCATGAAATAAATTTTCATTTTCTTTCTTAGACTTTGTTTCATTTTTTCCTCTATCTTGATCCAATTCATTTGAAATATTTATTATATTTTCCTCTTTATTATCAGTTCTAACATCTTGCATGAAAAGAGGTTCTCCTATTGTTCTGAAATATTAGTTAAATGCGTTTTTAAAAAAAGATAATAATTCATAATACATTTTTTTAATATTCGCATAGAATTTTTTTTTCAAATAAATTAAAAATTAATTTATATATTTAAAATTAAATTTTGATGATGAATTATAAAAAAAAAATTGTTTTTCAATTGTGAAAAAAGGTTTTTATTTCGTTTAAAATATGAGAACAAACCTGAAAATTTTTTCAACCATTTTAGAATCAGTCTCACTGGGTGAAATAAAAATTGTAGTCATTGCAAGTTCAGGTTTTAATGATGAAAATTTGTCAATTGAATTTTCAGATTTAAAAATATTTCCAAGAGACTGATGAAAGTGGTGCATCATCTTTTTTGGATTATTAAACAATAAAATAGGATTTCTACTATCAAAACTGATTAAATCATCTTTAGGTTGATTTTTAATTTTACTTTCATCAAAGTCAACATCTTTTTGTTTGTTACTAGTGTTTTTAATATTTTCAATTGAACTGTGTTTTTGTTTATTTAACAAAAATCCACTTTTTAAAAAAGGAACTTTAAAAATATCATTCCCTGTTGAATGAATTGGTGAAAATAATTTTGCCGTTTTTGGTAAAAATTCCTGTTGAAATACTGATTTATCATTTAATTTTTCGGATAATTCATCCAAAATTATAAGATCACTTATATCAATTTCGCTATTGCTTTTTGATGTTTTTTTCATATCAGAAACTTTTTCAACTTTAGAATTTTTTTCAGAATTTTTATCCATTAATTTTTCTAAACGATTTTCAGTTTCTCTAGATTGTTCATCAAAAATTTTCTCATCTACTGCTCTTGTTCCTTCAGTTATTTTATCTATACATACATATTTAAAAATAGAAGAAACGAGTTTTTGTGAATATAGAATGAATTATTTTAAAAATATTCTTACCTGTTTTCGAAAGATTTTTAGGCAATTCAAACAACGTTGAATAATTTTCAATTGGATTTATAATCGAAGATTGATATTTATTTTGATTTTCAATTAAATTTGATTCTTCATTATAATGTTTAGAAAAATGTCCCAATTTTGTCGAATGTTTTTGTTCTTGTGATGGAGAATTTGACCAAAAGTGTTGATCAATTTTTTCAATAGAATGTGGTAAGGTAGATAGGGTTTTTGTTAATTTTATTGGCGTCACGTCAAAATGAATGTGATTAAGAGATCTTGCAAAAATCTAAAAGTAGAAATAATTATTAATTTTACACATAAAATAATTAATTTTTTTTTATGTTTATTTTTACTTACATGTGTTAAACATATGGAAACAATAAAATACGACAAAATTCCACAGTCCATTATATATAATAAAATCGAAAGTTGAAGAATTCAATAAATTAAAAACTAATTCTTTTTCTATTCAAATGATTGTCGACCTCTGAAATTGACTATTAAGAACGTTATGGAAACTAAGGTAATCACATAATTATTTTGTTTTAAAATTTTTATCGAACTCACTTAATCTTCATAGGTGCTTGTACAACTTGTATATTATACCATGTTTTGCCAAATATGAATTTTGAACAATTACAATGGGAAATTTCATTTTTTAATACAACAGAAATAGAAATAAGGAATTTAGAAATTTTAATTTATTTTTAGAAATATATTGCTTTATTTACAAAAATATTTAACATATGTGTGTAGTCTAAGAATATTTTTTTAAAATTAAAAATCACTTCTATAGATTTACGAAAATTAGAAAATTATCTCAACAAAAAAAATTCATTTGAACTTTATTTTTCAATCGTAATCTTCGCTAAAAAGACTTTACTATAATTTAATTTATGTTAATTTTTTAATAATAATTATTTAATAAATTTTAAATTAGTTAAAACAAAACTTATTTGGAAGTAATTTTTTTATAATTTTCATTGAAACCTAAATCCTGAGATGATGTAGGTCCATTCGGAAGATTTGGTGGTATTGGGACATTTCCAAGCAGATACTGAAAAAATATTGATAATTATATTATTATTTTCATATTATTATATTATATTTTAAAATTTAAAAAAAGATAACTCACTGTTGGTGTATCCTTATTGGGAAAAATTTTATCATCTTCATTAAAATTATCAATAGTTTTTTGAGAATTTTTCAGGAAATTATGTTTTTCATCACTTAAAATTGGATTCAGATGATTACTCATTCCAAATTTATCCTTATATATGTAAAGATTTGTCAAAATTGAATAATTGTTTATAACATTTAAAAATATTATATTTCTAGAAAAAAAAATTAAAAAACAAAAAGATATGAAAAATATAAATAAAATTATTTGTCAAATTACAATTTTCAGAAGAATACAGTAAATTATCAAAACCTCTCGGATGTTGAACATGTTGTCTTGAATATTTATTAAAGATCGTCTGCGAAAAAATCTTGTATCTACTTACATTTATACTATAATTATGATAACATAATATACCAGTTATAACAGACCAGTTTCATGTGTAAATTCAAAGAAATTAATTTTCTTTGTTAATAAAAATTAAAAAACAAAACAAAAGTTTCCTATTATATATTAATAAATATTTCTAATATATTTACTTTTAAAATCTAATTGTGATTTTTTAAAAAAGGTTAAAAAATTAATTTAATAATTAATTTAAGTTTAATGATTAATTTATCTTTTTTATTGTGTTTATTTTATCATTTAAATGTTTATAATTAATTTTATAAACTCAATTTTATTTTTCTTGGTGCTAATTAGAATTCATTTATTCAAATGGCTGTTGAAACTTTGTTTCTAGTTAATCATTGATAATGGTAATACGCATATATATGTACATGTACGTAATCTATGACGCGATATAAAGTTAAAGAAATAATCACAATTCAATTCTACTACCTTACATTTGAAATTTTCAGCAAATTTTCCAATCTCTGTGTGTTAATAAATTATTCTTGTGATATTATTTACAAAATTTTACCTCTATTACATATTATTATTATTATATGCTCACACAGCACATAATATTTCCTAAATATTTCTGAAATATTTCATTGAAATTTTGAAATATCCCAGACAGCACGTAAACTTGCAGCAACCTTGCGGCAAGCTTCAAATGTCCTACCTAACCCAAGCTTGCATGGTAAGCTTACCGAAAGATTGCAGTGTAAGGTTACTGCAAGATTGCATGATAAGATTATCGCGAGCTTGCATAGTATGCTTGCACGGTAAGCTTGTGGCAAGGTTGGTGCAAGGTTGCTAATAACCTTGCCCAATCAGCACAGAAATTTGCATTAAAAATTAGCACTATGCGCACTTGCAATCACAAGCACTTACGGCTGCGCAGTAAATTTTTTTGACCTCCCAGAAAGTGGTGCTCAATGTATGTACAAAAATAAATTTCCTCCCCCCCCAAAAATTTTTTTTGTTATATTCCGCAAGCTTGCACCAAGCTTGCCATAAGGTTGCCGAACAAACTTGCATGGCAAGCTTGCTGCAAGTTTGCTGCAACCTTCTGTGCTGATTGGCAAGGTTATTTAGCAACCTTGCACCAACCTTGGGACAAGCTTACCGTGCAAGCTTACTGAGCAATCTTGCGATAATCTTACTGTGCAATCTTGCAGTAACCTTACACTGCAATCTTTCGGCAAGCTTACCATGCAAGCTTGAGTTAGGTGGGACATTTGAAGCTTGCTGCTAGCTTGCCGCAAGGTTGCTGCAAGCTTACGTGCTATCTGGGATTACAATACGAAGTCCTTGAAATATTGCTGAAATTAGGGAACTTTTCGACTTTAAGAAATATTGCTGTGTAATTTTGCTGAAATATTTATTATTAAAATATTATAGAAAAATTCCAACATAAATGATGCGCACTGGTCGATCTCAGTTTCTATGGCCTCTACAGCTGCGCAGTAGTTTTTAATTTTCTACGATCCAAAGGTGTTGAACATGTTAGAAAATAATGATTGATTTCATATTTTAAAAAAGTTTCTAACTTTCTTTGAAATATTTCCTGAATATTGCAGAGTCTTCATGTGTAATATATTGCAGGAGTCTTAAAGTGTAAATATTTCAGCGAAATTGCACGGCAATATTTCTTATAAGCGGACATTTTCCTGTTTTCATCAACATTTCATGAACTTTGCATTGAAATATTTCAAATCTTTCAATGAAATATTCATGAAATGTTTAGGAAATATAATGTGCTGTGTGAATGAGAAAAATGACTATGAGAAATTATATATAAATAGTGACTTCATAACGTCATAGAAAATTAAGTAAAATTGAGACAATTTTTAAAAAATTATATAATTTCCTATAAATTTATGCATATGCGATTGTCGTGAAGAAAATGTTTATTCAACAATATCAGTAGAAACAAGATTTGAAAAGCATGGAATCAATTTAGTTGCTTTTACCTAAAATCATTGAACAATTTATTAATACAATAAAATGTATCTATAACTAATATATAATTTATACTTACAAGATCGGACACTGTTGTACTGAAGAGAGAACTGTCATTGAGAAGAATTTTATGAATGCATGTTAATAACTATAAAAATAAAATAATACAAATTTTGATTATTATATATCAAACTAAAGGTATATCATTTGTCTATATTAATTTTAAACGATGCTGAAGTACACATCGTTTATATATGTTAAACGATTTTTAAAGAAATATTTTTCAGGTAAAAATTTATAAAATTTTTCATTCTAAAAATTTTTTTTAAATTTTGCCTGAAAAATATTTCTTGTAGTTTTTATTAATCAGCAAAATTTATAAAAAAAAATATTTTTTTAAATAAATTATTTTATAACTAGCAAAAAACATCACAAATTCAATTATATAAAAATTATTTTTCAATTAAAATTTTTATGAAATTTAACAATTGTTTATAATTTAAAAAAAATATATCACAATAAAATTGAATTATTTTTTAAAAATTTCAATTCAAAATAAACTAAAATTCAATTATTACCCGAAATTTTAATTCAAAATCAATTAAAAATCCAATAATTATCCAAAATTTTCAATTTAAAATTTAATTATTTACCAAGTTTTCAATTTAAAATTAAATAAAATTCAATTATCTTCTAAAATTTCTATTCAAAATTAATTATCCAAATTTTCAATCAAAAATGAACTTAAATTAAATTATTATCCAAAATTTCAATTAAAATTCAATTATTTCCCAAAATTTTCAATTCAAAATGAACTGAAATTCAATTATTTTCCAAATTTAAAATCAAATAAAATTTCATTATTCTCAAAAATTTGAATTCAAAATTAATTGAATTTTTAATAATTTGAATTTAAAAGCATATAAAATTTTATTATTTCTAAAATTTTCCATCGAAAATTTTTTTTTTGAAATTTAATAATTTCAATTATATCTCTAAGGAAATTCAATTATTTTTAACTATTTTAATAATATTCTTTGAAAATTCAACTATCTGAAACCATTTTTCAATTAAAACTGATTTTCAAATTATTGTATTTTGTCCGCATTTTCTAATAAATTTTTAGTGAAATCATCTAAAATTTTAATTAAAAATCACTTAAAGTTTCAATTAATTTCAAAAATCTCAATTTTAAACCTTTGAAAATTCAATTAAATTTAAAAAATGTTTTCCAAAAATTGTTTGATAAATTATTTTTAGTTCTGTAAAATTTAATAATTGTTTGAAAATTAACAATATCTTTTGAAATTTAATTATTTCTAAAAATTTTAACTTTAACCCTTCGAAAACGATTATTATTAAAAAAAAATTTTTATTTAAAAATCTGTAAAATATTTTTGTTAAAATAAGAAACAAATCCAATTTTTTTTGGAATATAAATCGACTAAAACGACTTTTTGTATCTTTAAATTGATTCGAGGCCTGTGTTTTTATAATTAATATTTAATAGGTATTCGTTGGCCCCTGGTACCTTAAAAATTAATTTTCAAAAATAAATTTTTTTCAAATTACTATCTTGTACGAAATTTCCTGGCGCATCTTTTTTCTCATCATTTTTTTGTATTTGTATACAATTTTTGAATCAATATACAACTTTAAAAAAAATTTCGTTGGTAAACGTTGTGTACTTCAGCTTCGTGAATTGAATTTTCGAATTTGGAATTTTAAAGAAACTTATTCCGAAATTTGGAAACACAATTATACAACTTTGGCAAAAATGAGAAAAAAAATTGTCAAAATTTGACACGTCATAAAATTACTATTCAAAAAAACACGTGAAATCAGAAAAGGCCAACTTCAAGTTATAGGACAGAAGGACAGACCAAGCATTTTATTATTATATAATTTTCTGTGTTAAATAAAAATTAATTTCTAATCGTTGATCACAAACGTTGCGTATTTAAGAATCGTAATTTTAAATTAGTTTTACTTACAGGTATTCGTGTGCAAGAACAACAACCGCTCTGAAATAATAATATTAAATTATAATTATAATAAAAAATAATAATATATTTTATTATAAAATATAAATTGCATTTATTTACTTCTGGAGTTCCAGGAATAGGTGTCGGAAAAGCCCCCTAAAATTTTTTTTTGTATATTATATAAGTTATTATAATTGTATATTTTATGAGACATATTAATATAATATTAGTAATGTATATAATATATATTAATATATCATTAGAAAAAGATGAACTTACCCATCCCGTACTTGCTCCAGTTGGCGGAAAAAGCACCTATTTATAAAATATTTTTTATACAGGTATATAAATAGTGAAATACAAATTTAATTTTTTTTAAATTTATGATCTTTATAAGATATCACGTCAATCGGGGCTATTTTATTCACGCAGGGGCTATTATACTCAGTATCAGTTTTTAATTAATGAAATATTTATATTAAATTGTTATAAAATTTGTTTTAGATTTTCAATTTTTTATCCTAATCTAGATTATCTGTAGAAAAATTTCATATAGCTAAAGCTGTATAAAAAAAAAATGTTGAGGATTTTTTAGAAATAAACTTTGATGAGTATAATAGCCCCAATCGCGGGGCTATTATACTCTCAACATTTTAAGTGTCCATAATTCTAGTAAAAAAAATTTTTTTGTCATCTATAACTTATACAGAATATTTTCAGACGGATATCCACAACATAACACAAGAGTTGAAATTCTTTTTATTTAAATTCTGAACTTTGGTGAAGCATTGAATAAAAATGTAGCGTTTTCTTTAGTATAATTGCCCCGGTTGACGGTAATTTAAAAAAAATTTTATGTTTTACTATATTTAAAAAATTAAAATTTATTAAATCATTTTTGAAACCAGCACGGAAAAATTTTTAGTTATTACTTACAAAAGGTGGAAATGGAGGCAGCGGATAAATAGGAAGTGGTGCTGAAACCTATTTCATAAATTAACAATTAAATTTATACAATATTTTAATTTATAAAATATATGGTATATAATTATTAAAAAAATAACTTACAATCTTCAAAGGTGTGTCAAGATCCTATATTAAAAAAAAAATTATAATGTAAAAATTTAATATTTAAAAAAATTTGTATAACCATAATATTAAAAGTTCACAATAATTTTATGATTAAATATAATTTTATGTATATTTGTATGTTTTTTAAATTTTCTATTTACTTACATTGATTGGAAGTAGGTTTGCGAAATTAAAAATTGATTCCTATTAAAAAAGAATTATTATGAAAAGAATTAAATAATTTTTTTTTAAGTTAAATTTTAAAATAATTTAATTTTAACCCCATTATGGCTCATGCCCAAGAAAAACAAGAACATGCGAAAAAGTAATTATTGGTCATAGAATATTATGAAGATTATTTTCATTTAGTTATATAACAATTTGTGGAAATAAATTTTTTCGTCACTTTTAATGTCACAAAAACTTTTAATTTGTTTAATAGTGCTCCATATAGAAAATAATGACCTTCTTTGATGTTTTCTTTTTTTTGAGATGGGAGTTATAATGGGTTGAGTAAGAATTTCTGAAACGTGCCACCTAAAACTGAAAAAATTTATTTTTTACTGAAATGTTATTTTTCTTAAAGTATTTTATATGAACAATCACCCCCTAAAACGATTTTGCAAAAAAAAAAAATTTTTGTTGTTATTAACAATTTAATATTTTTGACCTTTTTTTAAAAAAAATTAATTTCAAAGAAATTTATTAATCGATTTTGGTGATCTAAACGGCATTCTTTTTGTTTTGAACCATAGTTTTATTGATATTTTTTTGGTGCAAAAATTTTGATTTTTATTGCAAAAAAAAATTGTTTATTTATAAACGCATGGCGCATCTTATACGTAGTGGCAGGCGCCGCGCTACGTTCCGCTAGAGCTCTAATGTAGGTATTCTATTCTACAAAGTCTGTGGAAAAATTAATTTTATTATTAAATTATAATTTTCAAATTTGAGTTTACATATTATTATTATTATTGGGTAAGACTCCGTCAGAAATATCACGATTTGCAAGGGGTCTTTGGATTCGTCTGTAATTTCTTTGAAATTAATTTTTTTAAAAAAAGGGTCAGAAATATTAAATTGTTAATAAAAACAAAAAAAAATTTTTTTTTGCAAAATCGTTTTGGCGCGGTATCAGTTCTACCAAATTTAGTTCTATACGGGGCAACTCGATACGTTAAACTTAGCACATTTCAACTCTACACAGTGAGATTAAATTTTTTTAATGTTTATTTCGATACAGTTTAAATGGATATGGCTAAATTGTGCACCGTTCAACTCTACACAAGTGAATTTCAAAAATAATAAAACGTTCAACTCTATACAGTTTAATTGTACACAGATGCTTTTGATAGATAAAAATTTTTTATATTTGTTTAATTGAATACGGTTCAGTTCTGCGCAAACATTTTTTAAAATGATGAGTGTTTAGTTGTGCACAGTTTAATTAAATACTGCTAATTTGTGCACAGTTCAATTCTACACGAGTTAATTTTAAAAATATTAAAACGTTCAACTCTATACAGTTTAATTTTAAACAGATAATTTCGATACATAAACAATTTTTATATTTGTTCAATTGAATACGGTTCAGTTCTACACAAGCATTTTTTTAAATTATGAGTGTTTAGTTGTGCACAGTTTAATTAAATACTGCTAATTTGTGCACAGTTCAACTCTACATAAGTTAAATTTAAAAATAATAAAATGTTCAACTCTATACAGTTTAATTTTACACAGATGATTTCGATACAAACAAATTTTTTATATTTGCTTAATTGAATACGGTTCAGTTCTACACAAGCATTTTTTAAAATAATGAGTGTTCAGTTGTGCACAGTTTATTTAAATACGGTTAATTTTTGCACAGTTCAACTCTAGACAAGTTAATTTTAAAAATAATAATACGTTCAACTCTATACAGTTTAATTTTAAACAGATAATTTCGATACATAAACAATTTTTATATTTGTTCAATTGAATACGGTTCAGTTCTATACAAGCATTTAAAAAAAATAAAACGTTAAATTCTGCACAGTTCAATTCAACACGAGTTAATTAAAAATAATAATACGTTCAACTCTATACAGTATATTTTTAAACTGATTATTTCGATACATAAAAAATTTTTATATTTGTTTAATTGAATGCGGTTCAGTTCTACACAAGCATTTAAAAAAAATAAAACGTTTAACTCTGCACAGTTCAATTCAACACGAGTTAATTAAAAATAATAATTAACTCGTGTTGAATTGAACTGTGCAGAGTTAAACGTTTTATTTTTTTTTTAATGCTTGTGTAGAACTGAACCGTATTCAATTGAACAAATATAAAAATTGTTTATGTATCGAAATTATCTGTTTAAAATTAAACTGTATAGAGTTGAACGTATTATTATTTTTAAAATTAACTCGTGCAGAATTGAACTGTGCACAAATTAGCAGTATTTAATTAAACTGTGCACAACTAAACACTCATCATTTTAAAAAATGTTTGCGCAGAACTGAACCGTATTCAATTAAACAAATATAAAAAATTTTTATCTATCAAAAGCATCTGTGTACAATTAAACTGTATAGAGTTGAACGTTTTATTATTTTTGAAATTCACTTGTGTAGAGTTGAACGGTGCACAATTTAGCCATATCCATTTAAACTGTATCGAAATAAACATTAAAAAAATTTAATCTCACTGTGTAGAGTTGAAATGTGCTAAGTTTAACGTATCGAGTTGCCCCGTATAGAACTAAATTTGGTAGAACTGATACCGCGCCAATCGTTTTAGGGAGTGATTGTGCATATAAAATACTTTAAGAAAAATAACATTTCAACAAAAAATAAATTTTTTCTGTTTTAGGTGGCACGTTTCAGAAATTCTTACTCGGTTAATAAAGATTTTTTTGCAGTAATATAATAGTACTTACATTCCCCTGAGATGATTCAAAAAAATATAATACTAACACACAAATAATTCTCATTTTTCATTAAATATTCTCAAGTTGTCGCAAGAATCAAGAAATTTATACTAATGAAAAAATATTTTCTCACTCAAGTTGCATGACAATTTTTTTTAACTTTTATGAGATTTTTTTGAACGGTTCTTATATGATATTGCACATGATTATATTTACGGTAATTTGATAATAAGTACAGTAATAAAACGATTAAATATGATAGAATATGCTGTAAAACTTTCTAGGATATTTTTATATAATATATAAAATATTATTAATAAATTTATTATCAAAGTAGAACTAATGACTTTTTTCAATAGAGACAATATATAGATCTAAGCTATCTAAACTGATAATAAAAAAAAACATTTTTTATTTAATTATTAAGACAAAAAAATTATTAAAGTATATAAATTATACCCAAAAATTTCCCACAAAAAATATATCTTTGTTAAAAATTATCGTATCACAATTTTTTTAAATAAAATTTTTTGCAATGCCTAAAATTCTCTAGGAATGGGCAAAAAATCTACTGACTATGAGTAGCACTGTAGGTATAAAATAAATATTCTTTTTTAAATATTCTTGCATCTTTAAAACAGCTTTTTATTAAAAGACTCTAAATTTGCTTCATTATATAATTATATTTTTCTATAATTTGTTATAATTCATTTTGGCATTATAATTATAATTAATTAGTTTTATTATGTATTTGCCAATAAAAATATTTAATTGGTCTCTGGGATATTTAATACCATATCAGGAGTATATGGCATAGGTGAATTTGTAGTGGTTGTTGTTGTTGTTATAAAATTTTGATTTTGTTGTTTTGATATAATAGCCTCAATCATTTTTGGTTCTAAATAATTCGATTCATAAAGACTTTGAGTTTCCATTAAATTATTGAGTTCACTTTCAAAGTATTTTTTTCTTAATGAAAGTAATCTGGTTGACGTAATAGAAGCATATTTTAAAATTAGTCGTAATAATCTCTCGTTCTGAGGAATTGAGTCTGGATCATATTTATTTAATAAAGTTCCATTGACATTTAATTGTGCTTGAACCTGAAAGCATACAATTATAATATATCTTAGGTACTTTGAAATTATTATATCGGATTAACATTATATATTTCACTTAAATTAGTTGAGGTATATTTTTAGAAAAATCTTATGTAAAAATTATTTTTGATATCCGTGCAATTTATTTTAGATAATTATTTACTAAAATGTTATATATCTATCTCGGAATTTAGATTTTAAAGATGAATTGTACAAAAAAAAGTTGCAAAAAATTAAATACGGACAAGTAAATAAGTTTTCTTGATTCAATACTATTTTTTTTTCCAAAAAAAGATGGGATTTTTTCGGTTTTTTGGAAAGGAGTTATAAGTGTTCAAAATGAGCGAAAATTTTTAAAACTTGAGCATTAAAGGTAAATTTTTTCATATTTCTATAAAATAAAATTAAAAAGTCAGAAAATCATATAAAAGTACATTAAGGGTATGTGGGCAAAGGACGTTTTTTTGTGGTTTGAAACTTTCTCTAAAATAAAAAATGATTTCGGGTTAAAATTTTGAAGAAATGATTTTGTTTGTTACAAGGAATCTCGCTGTTCTACTCATTTACCATAACTTAATGCAAAAATAATAAAAATAAAGCAATAAATAGTAAAATAATGTATTATATTGTAGTTCATTCATCGGCCACTTGCTCAAATTGGCGCTGTTTACTGGAGCACTGACACACTCAAGCAACGTCTGTGTATGCGCCGCCATGTTTCTTTTCATTTTCGTTTAAAAATCACACTTTTTAAACTTCTTTTTTTAATAATTTAACACAAAATTATGTATTTTTCGGAGTACAGCGAGATTCCTTGTACCCTAATCTATCATCCCTCAAAATTGGAGACAAAAATCTTTTTTCATTTTAGAATAAGATGTATACTACCAAAACACATTTTCCCATACTAGGTCACGTGGGACGTTTCCACATACCCTTAAAAGAAATCTTTTTAGAAATTTTTTTTGGAAAAATTTTATTAAAATCTGTTAAATTTTGTTTTCTCAGTTAAAATCTAATTTTCACCTAATATTTTCGTCTTTTTTTTAATAAAATAATCAATTAATATCATTAAATTAAACCATCTTCAACAATAATCAATTAAGAAATTTTATTCCATGGTAAATATATAAAATTTTATTAAATAATTGTCAAAAATGAGTTGAAAGGTTGTCAAAAATTATTACGAATTATAAGATTTTTTAAACATAGGCACCAAACCTTAGGCGTAATAATATAATAAATTATAATGGACTGATCCGTCACTTTAATTTTTAATATGAAATTATATTATTATTAAATGATATATTTAAATTTTTTTAATATTTAATTAATTTAGAGTCGTTACCAAAAGCATAAAACTGGACACAAATGTTAAAATAAGAAAATAATTTTTTCCGAACATGTTGCAAGAGAGTTTAAATTTGAACTAAACTTGTTTTTAAAAGTATATGATTACACTACTTGCTAATTGTAAATATGATTGCTATTATAAATTTTTTAAATAATTAACAAATTTTCAACGTCAAGTACTGCAGTGATCATAAATTAAATAATCCTATCGAAAAATTACCGTTTTCTTTCATTTGAAACGAATCAAAATTAATTTCGCTCTTAAAATATTATCGAACAATTTCACAATTTATTTAAAAACAATTAAAAGTATGATTTATATTTCTTTCGTTAAATTGGTTTTTTTTTCATTTCATGCTATAAAGGATAAAATTTTTTATCTTTAATCATTTTAGATTAATCGTAAAAAGATGTTCGCAAATGATTTTTAATTATTTACTTTTTTTATAGTATTAAATAATTAAAATAATTAAAAAATTACCTAATATTGCAAATTCCTATTTTGATAGAAGTAAAAATTCAAGGTCGTAGTGTTATTAAAAAAGCAACAATACTTTCAGATGTTGGCAAACATTGACCAAAAGCTTCAAGTAATAATGGTTCTTCATTGACTGTTGCTTCATAATCTTCAAACGATATTTTTCCATCATGATCCACGTCTAATTTCTTTAAAGCTAATTCTGATAGATCTCTCACTCCTTCATCTGGATCTTCTTCTCCTGGTTGTTTAATTAAACAATTCCTGTATTTTTTTAACATGTCTTATATTTATTTACTAGCGCCTCGACTACGTTGCTTCCATGCTCACATTCTTAATTTCAAAATATTGAATTTAAGTTGATTTTCAAATTTTTTAATTAATGAAAATAATAATTTACCCTCTAATATAATTTTCAATTTGAATATAATAAATTTTAAATAATCAATTCAATTTTTATGCAATTAATTTGTAATTATATTTTCTATTCATGAAAAATTGTTTAATATTTTTATATTTTCAAAAAAAAAATGGATCTCCAACTTCAATTAAATCAATTTTTAAATTGAATAATAATTCACGTTAAAAATTGTTGAATCATAAAATTAATTTATTTTATTTTTTTCATTTTCAATTTATAAAATAAACAGTGGTTCATTTTTTCTTTTTTTTTACAAAAAACTGACTATTGATTCATTTTGAAATTTTGTGAGCTATTTATTCAATTGTTAAATCAAACTTAATGATTAATATTCATAATTCTTCGCACGCAAAATTAACGAAAAAATTATATTTCAATTCATTTATATTTTAAAAATTTTATTTAATGAAATTACTATTTTGAAAAATTAAAGAATTTAAATTTTTAGAGTTATTTTGTAATTCATTTGTCATAGGAAGAGTAATAATAATTTTGATATTATCTTTTTAATGAAAAATGAAGAAAAACGCAATATATTAACTTATATTGAAATGAGTAATTTTTCATTTCAATCTGTTGATTTAAAACTGAGACGCTTGCTTTTCATCGAACGGTCAATACGTCGGACAGACAAAATGTCGAATGGACAAAATGTCAAAAAGCCAATACATCGAACAGACAAAATTTCGAAAAGCCATAACCTCGAACAGCCAAGACGTCGAACGGTCAAAATGTCGAAAAACCAAGACGTCGAACAGTCAATACATCGAACAGACAAAATATCGATAAGCCAAAATATCGAAAAACCAATACCCCAGTAAAAAAAAACGAATTAGGAGTAAGCGAAAAGAATTGGTGGTAACTTAAGGAAGTTCTCCCCCTCCAACGTCAGTCAAATCAATGCCCATTTAAGTTTTCATTTGTATCACGTAGTACTAGCTCAACGCTTGGCAACGTTGGATTATATTTCCCCCGTTCCGTTTCGTGTCGTCTGCTATTGTTTGATTTATTTTCGTTAAATGCGCTATCATGTCGGAAAATTTAGAAGAGACTGCAAAAAAAGGAGTAAAACGTTATTATTGGAAGGGAAAGATAGTAACCCAAAAAGTTTATGAAAATCGTTGTAGATTGCAAATTGCGGGAAAAAACCTTCGGAGTGTATATGGCACTAAAAATCTTCGAGCTAACCTCACAAATGATTCGCACTGTGAATTAGTGAATTATAAACCTGCTGAAGGCAGACGAATAGTTCATTTAAAAACAATGGCAGAACAACTCTATTGCAAAAAGTGTAAATCTGTTTTGTCATTAACAAACGTTGTTGATGAAAAACGATATGGTTTGGCGTCTGTTCTCAGTGTAAAATGTGACAAGTGCTTATTTTACACGCAAGTTTCAACAGATAAACAACATGTTGTATCCGGTCAAAATAAGCGCAAACACTTTGATGTTAACACAAAAGTTGTTGTTGGTTAGTATAATCAATTATATTATCACTCTTTGCAATAAAATAAATCAAATAATATAAACATTTATTTCTAGGTACATTGAATGCAGGAATGGGAAACACTCATTTAAATAAAGTTCTGTCATCTGTAAACATTCCAGAATTCAGGTGGAATACTTTCAAGACACACGAGAAAGAAGTGGGGATCGAAGTTGAAAAAATGGCATACGATAGTTGTTTAAAAGCTGCCAATGCCCAATGAAGAAAGGTAACAAACCATTGAAAATTATGAAGAAGTGAAACGATTGTTGTAAGTTTGATTAATATTGCCAACAGCAAAAAGTACGCAATAAGAATCGTTGACTTTGTAGAAAGAAAAAACATTTTACCAAATGTTAGTTGTGAATTATCTAACACAACATATTTAAATTTATTTCATTATTGTTTTTTATGTGTATTATTTAGAAGCAAAATATTTATTGCGTTTATATAAAATAATATAAAGTCATACTATGAATAAAAAATTACTATGATTTAAAATATATGATTTCAAAACAAATATTTCACGATTTTCTTGCCCAACCAAAATTCGTATGTATTTAAATTAAATTCAAAAAAATTTAATTTTCAATTTTAATCCATTAAAATTAATTAAATTAATTTCCTTTTTAATTTTAATTAAATCAATTTCATTTTTAATTTTAGAAAAGTTAAAAATTAAAATAAAAAATAAATTTAAATTATTTAAATTAAAATTAATAACTAATTTTTTCTTATTTTACAAAAATTTTAATTCTTTTTTACATTTTCATAAAATGTATATAAAAATTACAAAATTATTAAATTAATTTTGTGCGTATCATTTTTCAAAGTTTTCAATTATAAATTTATTAATTATTTAATATTTATTAATTATTAATAGAATTATTATTTTAAAAATCTTAATTTTTTATAAGCAAATTCAAATTATTATTCATTATTATGAATCTTTGAAGAATATACTATTATATGTATATACTACTTATATTACTTTCAAATTTCGCGCTTTTTCTATACCTAACCTACAAGACGCAACGTTGCCAAGCGTTGTGCTAAGTAATTTCTGATTGTCAAAATACGGTGTTTTTTAGACAAAATAATTAATTGTGAGTCTCCTAAGCCAGGTCTGATCAATTTTATTAAAAGTAAGTGAAAATTGGCTATTAAACTTTATGTATATAAAGTTCCAGTAATATCTTTTCCTCAGATTTTTCACAATTTGAGATTTCAGACCAAAAAATTCAATTTCCCATAAGAACCCGTGTTAAATGTGAAAAGAGAAAATTATTTATATCTTTTGTCAAAATCCACCTAGACCTCTAAAAATTTAACTACATCTTCTTTAAACCATTATCTATCAGTTTATCAAGTTTGATAATTAACTCTTCGTCATTTCTGTTTGCGAGAGAACTTCCTTAAGCTGAATGCGGTTTGGCGAAAAAACCGAATTGGAACGTTACGGTGAATTATTTTTTTCTTACCGTGAATTCTTTTCTCTTAAACATTTGAATTGACGTTTGTTTATTCGAGTTTGCATTATAAATGAATAAGAATAAATGTTTCGAAGTCTAAAAAAGCCGATTTGGAATAAGGAATATATAATTTTTTAAAAAGAAATAAAAGTGAAATGTGATTGATTTACCGACAATTTTACCATGTGAGTACTACTCATATGGTAAATTTATCATATGAACACTACTCACTTGATAAAATCGTCGGTGAATCTGTCACACTTCGCTTTCATTTATTTTTTTTAAATTATATATTTCTTATTCCAAATCGGCTTTTTTAGACTTCGAAGCATTTATTTTATTCATTTATAATGCAAATACTCGAATAAACAAACGTCAATTCAAATGTTTAAGAAAAAAGAATAGCGCCGTGAAGCTAGCGACCCGGCAGCGGTCCGCTGCTGCTCGCAGCAGTCCGTTCTGTATTAATCGTTTCAAATCACCCTACTACCTACAATATTTCAAACAAATGTTATTTGTTTGAAATCACACAAATTTTACGTTAAAATTTCTACATTTTTAAAAAAATTGTTTATCCATTAACAAGCTTATTATAAACAAATTCTTAAAACCTTTGCGTCATACTCGATTTCTCAAAGAACGACTTATATTAATCTCGTTTTAAAATTTACCAATTGATCGGATTCGCTTAAAACTCGGGGGTTTTCAGCGTCGCTGATTACGAATATGAAATCACTTTTTTAAAATTCAAAATGGCGGATCCAATATGGCGGTCGACAGCATTAAAAATTGATCGGATTCGCTTGAAACTAGTTACTCGGGGGTTTTCAGGGTCGCTGATTACGAAAATGACATCAGTTTCTCAAAATTCAAAATGGCGGATCCAATATGGCGGACGACAACATTAAAAATTGATCGGATTCGCTTGAAACTAGTTACTCGGGGGTTTTCAGGGTCGCTGATTACGAAAATGCCATCAGTTTCTCAAAATTCAAAATGGCGGATCCAATATGGCGGACGACAACATTAAAAATTGATCGGATTCGCTTGAAACTAGTTACTCGGGGGTTTTCAGGGTCGCTGATTACGAAAATGACATCAGTTTCTCAAAATTCAAAATGGTGGATCTAATATGGCGGACAACGACATTAAAAATTGATCGGATTCGCTTGAAACTAGTTACTCGGGTGTTTTCAGGGACGCTGATTACGAAAATGACATCAAATTCAACAATTTTAACATATCTACCGAATAAGAAAAATTGACTGCTGATTTTCGCGTCAATATGCTGGCTGTTAATTTTAAATTAAAAATAGTTTGTAATGCAGAAATAACCAGAAAAATATGTTCTTAAAACATTTCTCAAATGTTGGAATTTTTAAAAAATTTGTAATGTTTATAATACACTATTTTTAATTTTTTACATAGCCATCTCATAGAAAAAACGGACTGCTGTTTTTCGGGTCAGACTGCTGGCGGTTAAATTTAATTAAAAAAAAGTTTCTACTACAGAAATAAACACAAAAATATGTTCTCAAAACATCCCCCAAACGTTAAAATTAATAAAAAATATGCAATAGTTTATTATAAACAATTTTAAGATAGCTATTTAATCGAAAAAACAGACTGCTGATTTTCGGGTCACAAAAATATGTTCTTAAAACATCCCCTAAACGTTAGAGTTTTTAAAAAGTTTGCAATTGTTTAAAATACACCATTTTTAATTTTTTACATAGCCATCTCATAGGAAAAACGGACCAAAATGTTAAATAATTTCATATAATTGTTATAAACAAGTTTAAGATAGCTATCTAGATAGGAAACATTGACTGGTGAATTTCATGTCAGTCTGATGACTATTCCTTGCAACTACATAAATCATAAA